TCTAAGGTTAAAAAACTGTTTTCTTTCATTATCATTCCGGACACACTCCATCATAATATGACTTGCATCTTCAATTTTATTACATTCTGAACAAACTGGCGAGATTGTTTTACCCATGAGAAACGCAAATCCATTAAGAGGAATATGTCCAGAACGTAACCTTAACATATTGACAATATCATTCCTAGTCATGTCTGCACCGTCAAACCATAACTTTCGAGGGAGGTTAGGTTGAATGGTCCTGTACCATATTCCTTTGCTCACAGATCTTTCATTTAGGTGCTCTTTCCATATATTATACATAGCAGATTTTATTAGAAACATATAGTCTGGTAAATATGGATTACTACAAACTGGAATTCCCTCAGTTGAGGCCTCTTTGGCGAGGGAGTCTGCTTTTTCATTACCATCTATTCCTACGTGGGCAGGTAGCCACTGTAGCACAATATTTTTACTCTTGTCAGTTAATTTTAGAATGATCTTTATAATACAATAAGCTATCGGTGCTCCTCGAAAGTTCGAGGTGCATCGAGCCAAATGTTGGAGTGCAGATTTTGAGTCACTGAATATTACAATTTTATCGCAATTAATTGATTCACTATAAGATATCGCTTCTGCTATTGCAATCAACTCAGCATGCATTATAGATATTTTGTTTACAATTTTAAGTTTAACGGAGTCATTTGTAATTTCGTCAAAAAATGCCGCTCCTATGCCATTTTCGCCTAAAGATCCATCTGTATATATTTTATAAAATTCATTATAATTTTTGCTTATATATTGGGAACATATATTTCTAAGTTTATCATGTTTGATGATTCGCTTGACAGTAACCCCACTGACATCGAGATTAATAACTTTTGATAAATCCACATCTCCAATCCACGTATCTAAGGTAAACATATCAACGATCATTTTATTGTGAGATATTGGAACTGATTTGTAAGATTCGTAAGCTAACATTAAGAGAGGTGTCTTTTTTTTCTTCCAATAATTCTTTCTTTGTGGGTCGTTAAGCTTTTCAGAAATATCTAAGAGTTTTCTTAGCGGATAGGACTTCGATTTTATTAAAAATTTACCTGCGAGATAAATTGAATCTTTTATAATAGATCAAGAATCTATTAAAATAAATAAAAGTTATTTGATTTGATTATATACCACACAAAAAGTTGAGAAGAAATGCAATATAGAAACAACATTACATTGACAGAAGCTATAAGTATCTAAAATAAAAAATCAATGAGAATTGTAAGAAGATATCATACCCAGCCTAAAATGCAAACATCATCTTCTCGGTATTACATTAATAATATTGCATTACACTGTATAATTAAACATATGAGAACTTTTTAGAGCTACATGAGTAGTCAGTTTATTTAAAGTGTGAGTGAAAATATTGGATTTCAACATGATTTACTCTAAATTCTATTTATGATAGTCATGACGGTTTGATTGAACAGTTTTGTAATTTGTGTTGTTGTAATAATTGTAAAGTACCAGACTTTAAATATACAGCTTTTTGCTGTTCATTAGATTGTACTGATTGGTATTAGTAAAACTTACTGGAGATGTATCCTCGTACTGTTGACTGGTGCTGCTTGTGAAACTAGTTTCGCTGCCATTTCTGTCTTCTGCTTCAGGTACTTCCAATAATTTTCTGCTCATTTCGTTGTCACCCCGAGTTCTCTTACGAGACATTATAACATCGCACGGGGTCAGTCGCACTGGTAAAACTTTATTCAGAGTTCCAATTCGCAAAGTATCTTCTGATATATATCTATAACAGTATTGAGTATAACTGTTGCTCCTTGCTTGCGTAATGCGGCTACTGCGGCTCCTGGATGACTATTTGGAGTATTCCTCGATATACCTACTTCACTTTCGTATTAGTCACACTTATGGTCGTGGTAATCACAAGAGTAACTCTCTTAACAAACAAATTGTAAATTATAGTGTATGTCACTTTATAACTAATTTAATCTTAAAAATTGATTTTTATTCGAGTTTAATAAAATTTAGATTGAAGAAAAAATATTGCAAATGCAATGTGACTGCACACCGTAAAAAAGTTTTTGTGACAATTGACAGGTGACACTATGCTCTTTTTTTTCATAATATAGCAGGCACGGCTTGTGCATTGATTGACAAACAAAATGTAAGGAGGTATTGTGGGGGAAATCATCGCCATCTTTCATTCATTTCATTTTCATTTTACATGTAAAAATTAATTTATTTACTTGACATTGGCAGAATTGTGTGGAATGCACAGATAAGCCATTAATTAAAAAAAAGAAGAAGAAGACGTATTGTGGTGACATAAAGTGCGATTAAAGTTAAGAAGAAGTGGAAAACTCTAAAAATTGCCTTTATAAATATGTACTTTATTGCTATAAATTAAAACTAGCTTTTGCCCGCGACTTCGTCCGCGTGATATAGTTACTTTGGGCATCATATTTTCCAAAAACGCTGTTGTTTTTTGAGCTGATGATGAAATTACCTTGATATTTAAATTCGAAGATAGTACAACAAAATACCAACGAAAGTCCAATATGTTTCAGCACTTTATCTTTGAAACTTTAGAGATATTAATCCAATTCAATGCAATTTGAAATAAAGATGAAAAAAAAACAGTTCTGAAGTTTACACAAAACTTAATCGAAAACGTAATCTACGCAAAATTCTTTGAAAGTAACGTTACCACAGATTACTTTAGAATAAACGCCATCTATTGGGTGTATTTGCAACCTAGATGTCAAACGATATTGAAGAATTTTATCTATGAACCACGGTACACCGCCATCTATAAGAACTTCATAAAATTAAACAGTAAATAAACACTTGCTTAAGAAACAATTAATTAGTACATTTTATTCGTTTACATTCACGACATAAGTGAATAATTGAGATGATAACTATCCTATCCAGCAAGTTAGACCAAAATACGGCTACATGTGAAATTTGATAGAAATCGGTTCAGTAGTTTTGGAGTTTATTGGCAACATACAAATTTTTATATATATAAGAAGTACTTTTTATTGCTTCTTCTACATTAAATAATCCAAACCGAGAGAGATAGTCACAATGAAGGCCATATGTCTCTTTCTTTCATCTTACCATTAAAAATATCGTTGATTATGATTAATAATTTAAACTAAAATAACCTTTGTGGAAACATTTGTATTTAAATAGTAACTATTTTAAAAATTTAAGTCATTATATATTGACATTAATTTCGTTAATATGAAATTATTAAAATATAGTATTAATTATTATCAATGATACTTGTTTACTTATTTTCTAATGGTATCTTATTTAGATGTCATAGCGGTGACATATTGATCGAGTAATTCACGAGTATTGGTTAAATTTTCTCCCGTAGGATCTTTTTTGATTTTGTGTATTATTTTTAAAGTATGAGACTTCGTCATCCTATAAAGCCGAATCGATAGCGCATCTGATATTAATTGGTTAGCAATTTTAATTTATTTGAATCGTAAGTTATTTATTATGTTACGTATAAAGAAACGATGATTGGTTTATATTTCAACATTAGTGATGAGCCAACTTATTGGTTGCTTGTAACTTCAATTGACTCGATTCATCCAAATTCAGGTTTGGAATGAAGATTGAAGATTTCGTTTCAGCCGGGACAACTCTGTGCTGTTACATAGTATGAAGACTATAATTATTATATGTTTGTCATTACAATTAATTGTCAATTTTTTTTTAAACTTTTTGTTTACTCTATCTATGGTTTAAGAGTTTGGATGCGGATCTTTAAAATTGGACCACATGTAAGTGTCGTCACGGAGTGTCTTGTTGTATTAAAGTCATAGAGGTATAGGTTCCTGCTTTGTATTGTTAAAGAATAAAACTGATAAATTTCTGCCACACGCACGACACAACATACAAATGTATCTCCAACAGGATTACCACCCGGCTTATTGATTGGGTGACTTAACATCACTCAATCGGATCCTAACTCACTTCGTTACCCTGGATTATCGATATCGTCATAATCGTTACTGTTGGTTAATATACATTATAAGGTACTATAAACGTAAATAATCGTTTTAGACCAAAATTGTTCTAGTGCCTTTAGATATAGGCTCCGTTTGAATTATCTTTGGTAGCGTCAGTAGCCTGTCTCGTGTTTGTTTTAATCAGCGTTTTGTCTGTAAAGGTGCATTTAAACCTTCGATCAACAATACAACTAGATAACACCTCCCATACTAAAACAATACTCTAATACGGCACCAAACCATAGAGCATACACTGCGACAACCAAAGAAGTCTAGCCGAAAGGGAAGAATTTATTTATTACCGTACATATTTAATTATAACTATCGTTCAGTCTCTTAAATCACGTGTCTCTCTCACTACGGGATGTTGGCAAAATTTCCGTGTATAACGGAACAAGTCCATACTGAAATAAAAAATAAAATAAAAAAAAAGCTGGGTAAGTATGGAGTCGCATTGAAAATTTTATTTTTCTAAGTAAAATATACGTGTAATGAGGATATATTAAAAAAAAACAAAAGCACTAAAAAACACCTTCACTAGATGGCGACTCTAGCAGAAGTTGATTTTTGCAGAAAACGAATAGACCATAGACAGTCATTTCCGTTCCTGTTAACTAACATATTAAAAACTAAAATTTCGTAACTTAGATATCAATACAAATAGATATGTTGTTTAATAGGTTTTTGAGAATCAAAACAATGATTATGGTTTGATAAAACTTAAATCAGAAACGAAAAGGTGCTAAGTTCAGTTTAAGTATAATTTGAGACGTTCTCAACTTCAAATACTCCATTCAGAATCCGGGTGTTTGACCGGATTTAGTTTTTCAGTCAGTAGTTTCGCTATCCGTCTGATACAACTGTACCCACCGAAGACCAAACACAGACTCTAGCGCCGCTAAATGTAGTGTCGGCGTCCTAGTCGTGGAGTTGTGGTGAGCGAGATAATATGGAAAAAATAAAAATATTAATAAATGTCAATAACTTTTATTTTAGTTAAACAAAGAAATGTATATATAATAATATTATATATTTTATTGAATAAAATTATTTCTTATAAACAGACATCTCGTCCATTGCGAGAGACAGCCACCAAGTTCCCATCGTAGCCGAAAATATGGCAAATCATAACATAAAATGAATGCGGATGATCCATGATCTAGTTGTACTAGATGCCTAAAATTTTGTCTCTATTTTACTTCTCAATTACAGAAAGTAATAACGACTAATTGGAGCCGCTACTTAGAAGTCGATTAGGCGGAAAATAAGACATGCAATCCATACGCATGCGGCAAATTAAAGTGTTTGGACCATCTGTATCGCAATTCTTTATAAAATCTTTTCATAAAGAAATCAAAACGCTTCGAAATATTGTGGTCAAAGATATTTATTCAAGGGTTTGAGTTCTATTTAAGCCGAAGCTCGAAGGAAATGATCTTAAAAATCATATAAAAATATATCACAGCAATTTCATTTAGCCCAGCTGTATCTTTATAACAGAGATCAAAGAAGAAATAGTCCTCGTTTAGGAAAAAATGCATCCAGTTAATTACGATTAATTTTAAGCGACAGATACACCGAATCCGTTACGAGTGACGTAATTATGGTTACAACTCTATATTATGTTATAATAAATAGACGAGTTTTATAATTTCGTGGATATCCATTTAGAAACTGGCGTCGGGACCGGGAGGGGGCGACTGGTCACAGAAGAGGTGTGCCGAGTGATGTGACGCGTGAGGGCGGCCGGTGACTTGTATCGGGGCGTGCACGCATTATGTGGACAGTGCCATTTGCAACGCCTCTTTATGTTCGTTGGATAGCTGCATTAGGCACGAGTTGAATAGCTCCGCATTACTCTACAAAGAAAATTTTTATTATAATACTATAATAATAAATGGATACATCAATACCGTGTTATAGTAAGATATATATATATATAATTAAATAATTGACCCAGACAGACTAGACAATAGTCCAGTTCACATTTCAATAACTCAGGAAATTAAGTTCAGTCAGTTTTTGCGTTTTCCAAGAATTTCGCTAATAGATCAAAACTCGTGGACGCCAAAAACTGATTTTCTTATAGAAAAAGTGTGTTGGATAAGACAGTCTAAGTATATAGTTATATTATCTGCCTATCAGCTAGCATGGCCCGCTTAAATCAAATTAATATAGAAATAATTAAATGATGCTGCCTACAGGACCATTCGAAACATTTGAATCTCGCTAAACGTAATGATTTTGAAGAGATGTACGAATTAATATGACACCTGAGGACGAGCGTCTATGGAGATCGCAATATGTACGTAGGTAGTAGGTACCTGTATCTGGCGTACTAGTCCGGCCATCTGCGGATAGACGGGGTTATCATGTGGGACGGCATCGCGCAGGAAAGCCTCCGCTAGGACGGCGATGACCCTTTGCGGCGCACCCGGAGTCGCCAGCGCGGGGTGACCGCCCGCCGCTAGCTCACACAGCAGACCGTATACGTGCGGGGCTTCCTCGGTGTCCTCCACCACTGGCAGCCAGGTCAACCTGCAAATCACATACACCGTCAAACGTTACTTCAGTTTTACTCTGATAACAGACAGATCAGACACCGGGCAGTGGCGTTGACAAGTAGGCAAAATGCCACGGCCCCCAGCTGGAAGGGACCCCCGGTCAAAGGAGACCCCTTACTCGTGACATTTATTATTAAGCAAATAGTGAATAAATTGAATATCCAATGAATTTGCCACGGGCCTCAAACGGTACAGTTACGCAACTGGACACCGGCGAAAAAAGATTTCTGTACTCTTACCAACTAAGATTCCTGGTGCGATCGTTAAGGAGTTGTCATATTCTATTACTAGGAAGTTAACGAATATCTTTAAACAAATAACTGATAGATTTCATTGTAAAGACTTGCAATAATGTTAACAATACTGTCGAGACTACCCGTGCGGTTCAAATGTTTTAATACAAGCATTAGAGATAAAATTTTACTGATGAAAGTTGCTTAACTTTCATATCGCAAACCGAAGGCACTAAACACTGCGCTATCAAAGCAACAAATCTGTTGGAGTCAACACTACTCCCATAGTATGAGAAGCAGTCGTCCCAACAATCCAACCACTTCTAACATTAAAAAAATCAAACAAAATAAATAACTTCCCAATAAAATTGACTACTAAAATAATGATCTCACCAATGCCTGATGATCTCATCACGATCGATCTGCGATGGATTATATTTAATGATCTTAGTGACGGCGGAAATAGCGTTCTCTGTGGCGTTGAGATTTTCGACGGATCTAGAATCGGGTTCGGCTATCAAAGCGGCCAGAAGCGGTACAGCGCGCGCGCACGCGGCCGCGAACTGTACGCCGCCGAACTGAGCCAGCACACCGCACCCGTACGCGGCTGCCTGTCTCACTTCAGCTTCGGGACTTTGCAATCCGGCGAGCATGGGCTCCAGGAATATGTCCTGGTACTTCACGCAAGCCGGCCCTGTACAAATCAGAGGACATATTAAATGTTAAATAATTTAAATACAGTTCTTCTCCCCTATTATTATATTAAATTTGTATTCACAATGCTATAATAAAAAAATGTTTAAAAATTAACCAGCCAGATAGCCAGAGACGGGACTCGGAAGTCACAGCCTTAAGCAATTTGAGATGCTGCTCAAACAGTTGAGCTATAAGAGAACCAATAAGGCTGCCTATTTTTTAAAGCACTTGATACTTTGAGCTACACATAGGTGTATTTCATCTTCATCCTTATTTTAATCATTTTTAAGACAGTTAAGTTATCTTTTGCCTCTGATATTTCTCTTAAGTGAAATACCTATCACTGTCAGAAATAGCGAATCAAATCCCACATGCCTGTAGGGTCAGTTATCATTCTCGCGAATCTGCGAGATATGCAAGGATTATAAAAATGTTAGTTTGAGATTTGAGCAATGTGTGATATTGCTGTTATTTGAGACTTCATGATCAAAGGGCATAAGATGATAATAAAAGAAGCTCAAGTGATTCTCAAGATCATACTATAACGATGCTCAGTTGAGACATGAAAGACTCATTTATATGATTGCCGTGCTTCCTTCCTAGCACCGTCTTCCCGAGGGACTTGGGAATAAATTAGGATATGACATATCGTATAGTATATGATTAGTATGTATTGCTATCAGTTTACTTCTAAGTATCAAAAAGCCGACTCAGTTTCTTTCATAAAGAAATATAGCCTTAGTTAATTAATTGTTGATTGTGCTTGATAAAAGAATTTTTAATTAGCGCAGTAACAATAAAATCCTTTTAATATTAGTCAGTGAGGTTACCTCCAAACTCGATGACATCATCAAAGATGCATATGGCCCACTGTCTGTCCGCGTACGGTCTGTTAGGCGCGAGCAGTTGCACGAGATGCGGCAGTAAAGTGTCCAGATGGGGGAAGAACGCATCCCTGTACGCGGACATGAGCGCGTGAAGGACGTCCGCCACGCGGGACAACCCGTACACGTCCTCGTTATCTTCATCTGCTAGCTGCTCTTCTACCACCTACACATATGCAATTATATTTTTAATGCAATTTTCATTCAAAAAATTTATATAAATATGATGATTAGAACAAATTTTCATCTTTATCGAAAGTTAAAATATTTGTAAAAATATTTCTTTCGGCTGTTTAGGTGGATTGTCTGAACGTTGATGAAAATACGCTCTGTAGTAGCAAAAAGTCACAAGTGCTTGAACAATTCGTCAGTCCAGTTACATCCTGGGTAGCTAAGTGGTTAGAGCAGTCACCTAGATTGCGAAAAGTCATGGGTTCGAGTCCCATCTCAAGAGTGCCAGGGATAAAGTAAATTTTTAGGCATTTTACATTATAAATAAAAATATATCTTCTTTGTTCTATGACATAATAACAAATATATTCATATTTGCAATGGCATTCACAGTAAATTGTTTTCTGTCGTAATCAACAATGAAACAATAATAACAACTACCATAAAATGTGTGCTATCCAGACCTTACAGTTGAGCTTCTTAATAAGCTAGAACGTCTCCAAAATTTCGCCATAAGGTTCATATTCGGACTGCGTAAATATGACCATGTCTCCCACTATCGTCAAAGGTTGAATTGGCTTACCATTCGCCGACGCAGAGACCTACACATATTATCCCTTCTCTTTTCTGTGCTGTTCAATCCATTGTCACCCAGATATCTCAAGGAGCATTTTAAGTTTCTTTCCTCTACTCACAATCTTCCCCTTCGTTCATCTGACAATCTCCGCCTTTACATACCGCCTAACTTTTCTCAATTTTACAGCCAATCTTTTACCCTGCGAGCTATCCATTTATGGAATTTCTTACCTGAGAATGTTAGACGCGCCCAAACGCTGGAGTCTTTCAAATCTCTAGCTGCGAAGTTCTTTTTGTCAGATGAACAGAAATCTACTTGATATGTTGCCTTCTTATTATCTAAAGCATCTTATGTTTGTTTATTTTTTTATGTAACTATATTATCATATTTATATTTCTGTTAATATTATTAAATTTATTTGTAACGCGCACAGCCTACCTACATTATTGTCATCATTGCTTCTTCCAGTATAGGTTGCCTGGAAGAAATCGCTGTTAAGCGATAAGGCCGCCTATTGTGCAAAAGTTTGAAATGTTTGTAAATTACTCTTTATTTATTTCTGTTGTGTGTTGTACAATAAAGTGTTTTTATCTTATCTTATCTTATAAAAATATTCGTTATGCTTAGAAGCATTTTATTCTTATATAATTTAATTATCTTTCTTTGTGTCTACCATTTGGTCCTGCCGGCTTCTGTCGGATATCGAAATTGTGTTTATTGTTCGTGTAACATGTTACACAATCGTAAACTAGGGAAAATAATGTGGTAAAAATAACATTGGGCTTACTTCATCGTAATCTTCGTCGGCGCGCTTCTGCCTGCGTTCGGTCGCACGCTCGAAATGTTCTGTCAAGAGTTTGTTCAAGATGCGAAGTACCTCAGCCATCATCTCGTCAGAAAGACAGCCGGTACCGAGTAGCTCAATGCACTGCAATTATTGATGTATTTTTGAATTGAAATCCATAAGGAAGACCTGTCGCCCCATAGTAGCCCTTCCTTATGGATGGTTAAGGAGGATGGGCCATGACCCTCCATACAATGCGGATTGGAGGGTATTAAAGACTTCAAAATGCATCTGGGACCAACGGGTTAACGAGCCTTCCGAAGGGCGGAGTAACTCGAGATAATAATTTTATAGTCACCCATCCCGTGAGCGACTCTTGCGAAAGTTGCTTAACAACCGCGGCGCTTATTCACTATACCACGTAGCTCCAGTTACTTGCATTGATTAAAATTAGAGTTGACTGATGTAGAAGAATATTATATTTTTTGAATAGCTGTGTGAAAGCAATTTTTGTAACAAACCATTAATTATAATTTGCCTATAGCAAGTAAAATATGCTCTTTGAAATTATCTCGGGATTTGAGTGTGTAACATTTCAGTTTTTATATAATTAACACATTTCTAATTGTTTCTATGGGCCTCATAGTCATTTGGCCAAAAGTTGGATAAGTAAGTATACAAAATTAACTGTTGTTTGTATGTTTACCTTAGCAAGGCTGTTCAACAGCTCAACTTGCACTTCTTGTTCTGGTTCGGAATCAATGGCTTTGAGTAGCTCTGGCAAAATATATGCCCACATGCCTTGGATATACTGAGGGCCGCGAATACGAGCACATTCCAACAAGTATGGCAGCGACTCAGCCGCCGCCGTGCGCACGTTATCGTGGAAGTAGAACTTGAGCATCGGCACCATCAGTTTCACCACGTCCTCCGCGTATTCGGCGAATGCTTCTTTCAGTTCGCGCGCATAACACACTAGCATATCGCAAGCGGAAGCTTTGTCTTCCAGACCTGAAATTATGTTGGTCAATTAAATTCTTAGTCAAAAATATCACTAATCATGCTGATCAAGTTTTGTGTGCAATATAAATTTTTTTAGTGTAGATAAATGAAATATTATTTAACGATTTTATAGGTATCAGTCGATTCATCAATACTCTCTATAATATTAAACATTGAATTTTGTGTCTCTTATTCTATTCAGTCCTCAACATAGAACGCTTAGAAGTTTTATTTGACATGGGACTTAACTTCAGCAATTACAAAAAAACAACTTCACTTCAGCATTTACAAAAAAGACAAAATATAATTACCAGCTGTCTTGATTCCGAAGTTCTGTTGTTCGCCAAGTGTGACGAAGTGCCAGTCGAGATCACCTTCAATAGATTCTAGATCCTCATTATCTAGTAGAGCCACCTCAGGCTTCATGGCAGCTGTCCGCATCACCGGCTCCATCACCATAGGCAAATACTGAGCGAAACTCTTGCCTAAAAATATACAAAAATATTAGTATGGTTCATTATTGCAAATTTTTTTGAGAAGAGAAAATTATATATTTAGGTATGTATCAACTGTCATTTGCAAGATCTCCTGCACAATTACAGGAACTCCTATTGTGAATATTCAGTTAAAAATATTTATTTTATTCTTGAAAAGAATTTCTAACTATCATCTACCCGTTTCTTGTGCGTAATCAAAACACTGTTAGTTTTACTAGACCTTTTCTTATGGACAACGCAATACCTTTTGTTACTCTGTTAGATAAAGATGAACCAAAAGATATTGGACAGATCTGAATTATATACTCTTTTAATTTGAAACCATACATAGGAAATAATCTTTCAAAACATTAAATATATATGCTACAGACCCATAATTCTGCAGATCCGCGACCATGCAGAGATTAGATATGAGGTTTGTGGGTCATCTGCAGGCAGCTGTTCACCTTCTGTGTGTGTTTTCAGCAGTAAGTCCATCACTTCAGAAGCATCAGACATAAACTTTTCCTCACCCACCGCCAGACCTGTAGGAAATAAATAACATCATTAAAAAAAAGCTTAATTTGTTTATAGATCGGTATTCTGGTAAGAATTCCTTTTACTTTAAATTGTATTTGCGCAAATCAGTCAATATTACAGTAATCGTTAATTATTAGCCGACAAATATGAATGTCGTATAGAAATATCAATGATTATAATAATATACAAAAATCGAAAACATAAGTGATCATAATATATTAGAAAAAATATAATATCCAAAGGTCTCTCAACGCTCCAAACAAAGATTCTTTTTCGGTTCTAGTTAAATTACTTGGATATTCTGCCTTTTTTAGAGGGTTTAATTGAGTGTTGGTCTGATGCACAAACGCCCATTAAAGTTTAATAATAACAATATTTTTTATTGGACACGTTAGATGGAATATCGTACATGATTTTATAGGTAACATGTAAAGTTTACATTATTATTAAGATAGTTTAATGTTACTAACCAATAAGACTGACACATTCTATAGTCTTCCCGCGCAACATCTTAAGTTCATCAGTGGTGGCGTTAGCGATGATGTACTTGAGGCATGGCATTAATCTGTCGTAGTAAATCACGAAGTCTTTCTCCACAGTATCGGCCACTGAGGCGATAGTGGTCACGATCTGTTCCAGTACAAGCTTCGTACCGCGTTCAACTAACTGCACAAAAAATTACTAATTAAAAACATACTACCCATTGACCTGCGACTTCACACACGTATATTATATCAACCCCGTATGATGTACGTGAAATAATTAGGTAAATTTTTATAATCGGTTCAGTAGTTCCGGAGCCTATCCGATGCAAATAAACAATTAAAGCTTTCCTTTTTATAATATTATGTGCAATAAAACTAACATGTCCAAAATGGAATAATTTTTATAATAACAAATCAGTATAGGTTGGCTGTTGGACTGAATGATTTGGTTAACTAAATACACTACTTTAAATTTTTAATAAATTTCTTGTACCTATTTGTTCTTCTTTTCAGAAGATGTCTTTAATGGGTTTTCAATAATCTATATAGTAATAAATAATATTGTGATTTTGCTGGCCTTTTTGTAAAATTGTATGATAAAATCATGAATAATACGATTTTAGAATAGGGGTGTAGACAACTTCTTTTATATTATTATTTTATAGATATACATGAAATATATCTAAAAAATCATTAATAATAAGTTAATATATAAAAAACAAAATAATTCAAAACTTCCCACGGAAACGCCACTTCTGTCATGGCGTCGCTAAGACGATACTTTATAAAAATGCAGCACGCTTTGATGTCTTCTTGATACCCATCACTTTTTCTCATTACTAAATTTGTATAAATATTTAATCCTGACAAAGACATGTGTAACACTAGTATCGCTACTGCATACTTTTCTTAGGTATTATCGATATCAATATTTCCATATGTAAACATGATTGGTACAGTTAATCTTACAGGAAAAATTTGTACCCAGTGCACAAATTAATAGACAAAAAAAAAATCAGAGGTTTTATATAAAAAAAAATATTGTTTTTTTTTTATTGTGAAATCATCAAAGGATCAAAGTTAATAAACAATATTTGTCATGTATCTACAGTACCGATGTTAACTAGCTTAAGACATTTCAGACATGTAGTTTCAAATTAGTTAATAATTATCATCCTATTTAAATACTAGATCGTCATTTAATGTCCAAAGTTCGCAACTTTGGCGTATGTTTTGTAACTCAGTGCATTTTATCATAGCTTTAAATTAGAAAGTGTAGCAGGTAAACTAGTGCTGCAAGAAATGCAAAAATTGTTATTTTTTGGGGAGATTTGATTTTTTTTCTATTGGGCTTATATTCACGTTTTGGTTGGAATTGAATATCTAAAATGTGATGTTGTTCTCCCATTATTAATAACAACTTATTTAAACGTATTTCTTTACACAAAAGCGTTTCTCACCAACTGATTGCAAGTTAGTGATTTTAGGCGTACGCGTTCACTGAAACCTTTCCGTTGTATATCTTGTCCATCGATTAGTTTATAGTGTTATAAATTGGGACTTAAATAAAAACAAATATATTTTTAATGATATCCAATGTAACATTTACTATCGATCAATTATCGACATGCCTTTAACACATTATGGTTTCCATCACTACGGAATACGTTTTATGTACTAGCCAACAGCGCTGCCGCAGTTACTTCGCTGGCCAACTACTCTATCGCTAAGATTGGCAGCTTTATATCTTTAACACAAGTCATCATGTGGGTTCCATTGGAGGAGGATTTTATAGTTGTTCTATAAAAATCTGTTGTTCTTGTATGTATGTGAACTGAGATCCCTGACATTCTATTATAAGAAAGAAAGGGAGCAATTGTCACATTTACTATTCCAATGCTATGGAAGTGATGTCGTCAAAAAATAATCGATATCACTAACGAACATTGGGTACTGCTCTCGTGAGACCTGTTTTCCATGGATAAAAAAAATGGACTTACCTCTTTGAATTTGGCAGTCAAGATGACTTCTAGTTTATTCATCAAAGGATCAAGGTACTGAGTCAAAATTGGTTTGGGACAATCTTCACTGAAGTTTACCAAAGCGGCAGCTGCATGTGCCTACAATAATAGTGATTTATGTTAAGAGTATGCAACATTAGATATATATTTTTACGGATAGAGTTTTCTATCGAAATTACCTGCACACGTGGGTTAGCGTTGTCATCGAGTACCATAAGTAGACCAGGCACAACCTTGTCATGAAATTTCTTTTCAAATATAGGGGCGAAGTCGGTCGACATTTGTCCAACAGCGTTGCACGCAGCATAACGGACACGTGGATGCTAGAAAAAGTGGTCCTACGATATATCTAAGACATACTAAATAATAATTATTATGTTTAGATTTTATTTGGTAGAAAAAAATACCCACTTAAGAGTAATTTGGAATTTTAAGTATTTTTTAAAACACAGAAGCACTATTTTATTATTCACAGCTTTACGTTACAAGAACAGATAAACTGAGTTCAACTTACAGGATCAGTGAGGTAATTGAGCACAGCTGATACAACTTGATCGAGCATCTGTTCCATCTGTTTGTGGCAGCCCTCGCCAGCGGAGGACACGGCCATCAGTGCCGCGTGCCGTCGCCGCCAGTCCTCAGAGTTCAACATCACCGGCACTTGTCCCACAATAAGACCCAACATTATTTTACCACCTAGGCCACAGCACATACGGTCTAGAGCGGACTCAGCAGCCACATAGTTGCTGTAAACACATGAGTCTATTAGAAACAAGTGACAGAGTAGCGATCTAGCTCTTAATTGTTTATAAGAACTGTTCACGAGGGACTGACACCTAAACTCAAATAGAGCAAGATGTTAATTAACTCGTAACTTTGATTTAGTAAAATTCAGAAGAACCACCATATATATAAATGTGGTTACTACAACAGAATCTTACATAAAAGATAAAATAGATGCTCATAAATTACTAATGAGATATAGAGTAACTTTTTCCACATGGCTAGCAATAATTGCTAGTAAAAAAAAATAATGGCTGAATTCTTGTTTGATGTCTGTATACTTTTAAAAGAAGATGTTTGGATAAATTTAAAAATTTAGTATACATAATTTAAAGTTTCAGAGATTCACAAATTAGCTATCTTTATTTTAACCTACTTTTTCATTAAATATAAATGACAAGTGTACGAACTTCTCATTATCATCATCAGCGACGTCATCTTGCACCGCCCAGTCAGGCTCGTCATCAAGCTCGCACATCATTTCGAGTACGAGTGGCGTGAGCAGCCGGATAGCATTAGGCACCTGCTTGCGGACCATAGCCGGCGCAGTCTCGCATAATGTGACCATCGCCTCTAAAGCTAACTGTCGCCAATTATCTTCAGCATCTGTCTGACCGACTACCTGTTATGCAACATTAAATATTTAAATAAAGGTTCGGAATTATTGCTTTGATAACATACCAATATGAATATGAACTGACCTTTATGCAGACTTGGAATATAGTCTCTAACTGTGGTCGGAGAAATTTTGGTGCAGATTCAGCTAATTCTATCAGTACTTTTAATGCAGAATCATCGTCGCATTTTTCAATGGATTGCACAACGACCTACACAAAACACTATATATCAATATTACAATAAAATTACTGAAATATAATTTGCAACACTAATAGATTTAAATTGTCTGGAGAAGTACTATCAAACTCCATCCTATTAAGGATGGTGTTAGCGAATTTCTCAATTTAATTTTGCACATTCTGGCAGTAACACATCTTATTAAAAAAAATGTGCACGTAAATTTTGTGCTATAATTAATCACACAATATTGAAATACATGTGGAGTCTACATAAATAAATGGGGATAACTTGACGCATTTCAGTTTTGCTGATGATATAATTTTGTTCTAAAGAATGATATTGAAAACAACTATCTGACAAAAGCAAACTGGCAGGTCTCATGATGAATGAATTAAAAATCAAAGCAATGACATTAAAGTTAAGCTACAAAAAGGTGGCAGGGGAATGGAATATGTTGACAAATATATCTATCTATATTGGCCGAATTATATCTCTAATAAGCCACATGAGCAAAGAGGTGGAAAGAAGAGCGGCAAGCAACTTATAGAAAAAAATCAAAAGAAAAATCTACAAAATAATTATTTTACATACACTAACATATGGATGTCAAACTAAGACTTGTAATAATTAAAGTATTCAGCAAATAAAGGCGTGTCAACAATCAATGGAAAGAAAAATGCTAGACCTGAAACTTAAAGAGATGGAAACTGTCAAGAATTAGATAGATCATAAAGGTTCAGGATATAGCAGTAAAAATAATAATGTCATATTTTAAGAAACAAAACAGAAAAGCGGAAAATGTCTTTTACTGAACAAAAAGATAGGATGATGATCTGGACAGGAAACAGACATGGAATGTACATTTAAGAAATGCGCAGAATTGGACATATTACTAAAAAAAAATAATTGGCTCCTAGGCAGAAACTCGCATTATCTCTAGAAAATTAAATTCTAATTTACAAAACCCGTTTGACCTATAATATTGAACTGTGGGATTCAGCAAAGCACAGTGATGTGGAAATATTCAAAATAAAGTACTCAGAAACCTATCAGACGCCCCTTGGTTACTAAAGACCAGTGAGCTGCATGAGCACGTGAATATTAGAACAATTCTAGAAGAGATCCAGTACTGAACGAGGAAGTATAAAGACCGCATTGCGGCACACACAAACGTCTAGCAACTGTTCTAAACACTCCTTTAGTGAACAGGCCAGACAGAAATGCCTAGCTCGGTGGACAACCTGACCAGCATACAACAGATGCTTATGCAAAATAACCTGCTATTAAATACATATATTAAAAACTAAGCTAATATATTATTATTAAGGAAGATGGTCAGAGAATAAAATTATTTTTATTATTTCTGAAGATTCTAATCTTTTTCTATTTATAAACATACCTGCATCAATGGTAGCAATATGTCACTGAAATGTTTTTGAATCGCTGGTTCTTTGTCATGAAGCAAAATGAATGCACCAACTGCTTTGACGGCCTGAATTTGTAGAGCTTCAGATTCTGTAGGCTGTAGAGCTGATAGAAGCATGCGTTTGATAACATCCAAGTTCTCATTTTGACGGTTCCCAAATACGCCAGGTACAGATCTAATCAAGAATATACAAAATATTTTAAATACTATAAACACTTTACTAACCAAATCTTATCACCAGAATCATTAGAATGTGTACCAAAATTATTATTTAGCTAATTATTCATTACTACTAACAAAATTATTGACGAAGTCTTGTTAGTCATAATTTTAGGTTCACATCCAATAGCATTATTTTAGTCTTCAAAAGATATATTATGTATTCATGGCCTCAATTACGATATTATAAGTTTTTAAAACTTTTTTGCGATGGATCCCTTTTGAGAAAAAGTATTTACATACAAACAATGGGGCACGTAGTCTACTCGTACTTATCCCTGTACAAACGCAATTCATATGAATTTAAAAGGAAATAACTAAGTCAACTAGCTGTGATACGAGGGAGTTCTGATTGCTCCGAAGTATTCTGAACACGATTGCTAGGGCGTGCATTGTAACGAGTTTATTCTTTCTATAGATATGTTCAAAATTAATACAAAATGATCTCGTAAAGGCACTTAATTTTCATAGAGTACAACCAGTAATATACGCCAAATTTAAATAAATTTAAGATTGATTTATGATTAACTTTCGAGGATTTACTTTCATCAGAGTCGACACAAGTCCCTTAGAAAAATACACAAGATATTTTGGCTCTTGGTTACGGCACGAACGAGGCACGAGGCAGTACGAATAAATTTTATTTTACAATATCCTAATGAGGATACTCCTTGTTAGGTAAGTCGCCGCTTATTGATAAAAATCATTGGAAAAATGTTTTGAGCACATGAGACAACAATCGGCAGTGTTGACAAACTATGGTCCCGCGAGGACTGATGGTGGGTCAAGCTTCAAAAACTGGCGCCATTTACAAAGTTAATGAAGTGTTTTTTTTTAAAACACGGTTGTTAGTTTGTCATACAATTGAAGACTCTCTTACTCATATCAAAACTTAGAGAATTCAACCTTATGCATACATAGAACGATATTAGGTCAGAGTGCCGTGACGTTATAGTGACGCCATGATAGAAGTAGCGTTTTTGCGGGATAATTTATGAATTAAATTTATATTTAGATTTTAACTTAATATATGAATGATTTATTTTTTTGATATTTCACGTATATCTATAAAATAACATTTTAAAAAGTTTTCGTTTAAAGATCCAGTTTCTAGCAAGAAGAGTAAAAACGTGATGGACTTGTCCAGTTTAACTCGACACCATGCGCATTTTTTTTATTTCGTTAAAATAAAGAAACGGACTAATCATCGAAAAATAATGTTAGTATAATATTTTGATGAAAGTATGTATAATTTTTCTGTTGATATCGCTCTATTACACCACAAAACAAGACCTGATGCCAGAAACTGATGGCGACATATATAGTTAATGTCTGCTTCTGATATGGAAGATTTTATGCAGTATTTGTACAGAGCATAATAAACCCTATGTCAATTCTATAACATATAAAAATAAAATATGTCATGTACTTTAGTCTTACGCGGAATCGTCAAGAATTCTAGACGCGTTAACTTTTTCGGCTTCAATTTAATCTGTATGTTATAGCATTATTTAATCTGTATGTTAGAGCCTTATTTTCATCAACATCAAATTCGCATAGAAAATTTTATCAACAGTTCTGTGAAATGTAATGTGATAATGGTCGAATGACGCAATCCATAATAATTTCGGTCCATTCAGATACCATTAAGTAGAATTATTTAGAATAATTACCCAAACTAGAACCACTAAGATGGTGTCATGAAATTACATACTAATTGTTCTAATTACTGCTCAGTTGCCTTACGACTGTTGATAATTTTCAGATTGTATACTAGACTTTATGCAAATCATACATTAAAATACATAACAAAACATTTTGCTTTTTTTTCATATATATAAAATTGTCAGAAATATAATTACAACAAATACGACAAATCCTTTATCTGATACATCGTAAATTATATGTTTGATAATATCTCTATAAATAAATTTGTCTTATCTGTCAAATGATATTAAAATGTGTAAAAATATACTCTTTAAAGACCAGTGGCCTAATTGTCTATTTTTTTAATCTATCACAATCATTTTCAAACGTATAGCGGTTGTGATATATGAAATTGTGTAACTTTTAAAGTCACAATTGCTTTCGGAACGAATGACGATTTGAATGATACAGAATGTCATAGATAATTCATTTCTTTTTGTTTTTTAAAGTTGTGAAATAATCTTTACGATTTCGTATGATTGTAATTAATTCGCCTATTTGAACTAAAGAATAAAAATATTTTATTTATATCAATAAAATATTAGAAATGATTTAACATTTCATACTTTTGATAAACACAATGTTTTATTTCAAGGGAAAACAAACAAAACCATCGTAGTATCGTACTAATAAAATGCGCTAAGCGCGTTTTTTTATGCCCGCTCGTCTAGGGATGATTCGATACGAGTAAATACAAGTACTTACTTGATACTTTTCTATCGAAACAAAGTACTTATGGCATCGATACTTTAAAACGGAGTAGTAAATAGTATCGTGAAGTAAGAAAGTAAGTGTTTGTATCGGTATTTGTTCGGTCAGTCACTGAGGAGTGTCAAAAACTCGCGAGCATTAGAGTCTCTTTACTCTGTGTTAAGGTGTCTAAAGTCTATCTTATGAAAAAGTCCCACAAGCGACAGGGACGCTGCCCTGTCCCTGTATGACTAATCATTACTAACCCCTACTAATTTTATGCAGTTAGAGATCTATATAGAGGGGGCATTGCCATCAAAATTTGAAGCAATACCTAACCAAAAACATTATACCTATATGCACTGCTTTTTATATCTAGACCTACTTCTCTTTCTTCATTATACAGAGTAAAGCTATTGACTATTAACAGTATCAAATCTACTCTGAAAAAACTGTAAAAATGATGACGATGGTGAGGCATTTTAAAACTATTTGATACAAGTAGGTATCGATTAAAAGTATCGATTCCTACGTGGTATCGTTGAATCCCTAAGCTCGTCATGTCATCAGCTGTGCATCATCTGTCAGAAAATTTGGATAGAGTAGGCATTTCATTTAGTCGAGATATTTATGACTTGGCATTTCATGTTTGAAATATTTATTAATAGCTGTTAATTTTTTTTGTTATATGTAGAGTTCTGAATAAATCCACGTATAAAAAGATCGGTAACCCAGTAATGGAGGAATTTATTTATATGTATCGTGTAATAGTCACCTTAATGAAATTTGCAAATTTTGTGGTAGTTAAAAAATAACCATTTTATGAAATAGTTATAAATACAAGTTATAAATACAAAATAAAAAAGTAAGTATTCTTAGTATTATTTCTACCGCAACGAGTGATTATGTTATTTCTAGATAACTATGAGCGTTATTGGGTTTTAAATGTATATAAAGTATATCCTTAACAAAACTTTCGAAAACACATAAAATATCGAAAGATTGCCGTTAGTATTCAACCCTTTCATTTGACATTACCAAATAGCTTTCAAAGGTATTTGTAACCATCAATTTGCTTAGACAATTCCGATTAACGTCAAATGAACGTTATCGTTCATTCAATATCTTTCAAAAAAAAGTCGCGGTCGCATTTGCTTTCACATGTCATTTATACTACATTCATTAGACAGAAGTTAAATAAGGTTCTTTTTATGGTATACTTTGTGAAATAATATTTAAAATCATGTTACTCTTAAGACTGACGGCTTATTTGCTACATATCCACTTAAGTACCAGCTGCTATACTTAACAGTTGTCGTTTAAGCTATCTGTTAAACAAAATTATGAGTATTTGACTAACATAAAAGATTTAATAACTTTTACAATAAAAAGTGTTCATCTTAAAGAACCTAGAGAAGCAGGGTTGGATACTCTCGGCACGATTCTTATGTCACTATAACTCTACCAAATTTAAAACGTTGCCTAATCCCTTCAAACGTTTCGGTAGTACAGCTTTTTAATTTTGTCAGATTATGATGTATTTATAATAGTCAAAATACGTAATCTGGGATTCTCATTAATCGTGAATGTTATTACCTTTCTTGTTGTTTTACCGTATTCCGTGATTGAGTTGTTTTTGTATTATTGTTGTTTTCTCATAGTTTTGTTTTAGTTATCTTTTTGAAGTTAAGTTTTGCTAAATATGGACGATTCCGGTGCAGGTCCGAATGGCCTACAACAATTACCTCTGACATTGTTTTTCCAATATCTTAATCAATAATCTAATAATATCTGAATAAATGTTATAAAAGTAATAATAAAAATTTCGTTTTGTTTACCTTTCTTTCCTGGGCATATATATAACTAAATTCTATTCTAATTATACACTTACAATTAGAATTTATCAAATCAACAGATAGATAGTTATAGTTCCATATTGGCTTGGGAGTAAAAGATGAATTTACAAAATTCTAGCCTCATCGCAAAAGAAAATGGAAAATTGCCCAACTCTTTCACCCTACCCTTACGTTACCTAACGTTCAAAGTTTCAACAAAAATATTATATGTATTTTTAAAATTAATCTTGAAAATAAAATGTTCTGCAGTGCTGCTTCTGTGACCCTCTTTTTTCTAATGTTATAATGAATGGAGTATAGTTGTAGCGTGAAGTTCGCGAATGTCTTTCAAATGTCAAATTCAAAGTGATTTGTGAAAGATATTTTTTTAGACAATTAGGCCACAGAACGCGTAGCATGACGAACTCGAAAACGTTTTGTCAAATGTCCCTTTTCTCAGGTGCACCCATACGATATCTCACTCTTGACCCGAGAAAGTGGCATTTGGGTGTAGACATAGAGTTTCTCGAGTTTGTCATGCTACGCATGCAAGAAGAATTTCAGCCGAAGAGTATAGTTAAATAAATCTCCTTCATATGACGTACTACGTCCTTCGTAGTGAAAAGTGCGAAAAATGGCACTGTCTGTTCTTGTCACTCCCTTGCAACGTTTGCGTTACCATCAAACCGATTGATAGAGTGTTATGCATGTGATTGCATCACCAAAACCAAGTGGAATAATCTACATTTGGTGTGAACACATAGCTTGATAACTTTCTAAGGGTGCCAACTAAAAAGTGCGCTGTAGTTAACTGCAGCACAACTGCAATTTGAGATCTTTTGGACACCACATCAAATGTCTGTTGAAAAATTGCATATGTGTGTGTTCAATAAATGATTTTTCTTTCTTCAAAGTCAATCTTGACCAATTCATAAAGTGCAATTTTTATGCCCAAGGCTTCACAAAGCATAAGTTAGGACTCCACGAAAATATTAGTCATATTTCAGCAAACAAAAGCAAAATATGATGTAATTAATTATTAATGAACAGTACACTTAAAACTAAATGTTGTTTTATTTTAAAGTTCCACGTAAATATATGGTTTCTTAATGGTTTTCATCACAAAAAAAAAGTTTTAAATTACAACTTAATAGTAATTTTATAGCTATTATCTAATTGGTTAGAAAAACAAGATTTAAATAATAAAAATACTTACGTGAACATTCTGATGCCTGCTTCCTTCATATTGGAGTCCTGTGAACCCGCACAGTTGAACATGAATTGCAGAAATTCTGGCCATTGGTTAACTCCATCATCGTCTATGTGGTTCCTGGCTAATTCTGAGACTACATCACAAATCTGTGTTAAAAAAAAAACAAAAATAAAACTTTACTGTATCAGTAGAATCAGTGGAAATACATTTGTGTCATGTTTTTATTGGAATGGATATTTTTCTATCATACATGGCCTTACACAAATGTGTTAAATCATATAAAAAATTTTCTACTTTTACTCTTTTGATTATAAAACTGACATCTATCAAATATCAAATGAGATCTATATTTAAGCAGAGAATGCTTTAATTTTACTTTTATCTTACAGTTACACTGTGTTAGAATGCTACATTCAATATACATTATAGTCAATTAGAATTGTGATTTGCCACCACAAACAATAACACTGTTGATGTTAGTTTGTGATCAATATCTATTGTACAAATCAACCTCTGAATTGACTATAATAGCTTCAATAATAATAGAGATCTGCGATTTGTTGGAATTTTAAACAAAACATCAAGAATAGAATAGGTTCAAATTCATATTATATACATTAAAACACTCTCAAGCAAACTGTTTTATCTGTAACTATCATAATAAAAAAATTAATAAACCTAATAATGAAAAATTTTCAGATCCAAATATAAATTGTGACTTCATTCATCAAGTTTTTACATTTGATTTTGTTTCAATAATAGATCAATCTAATTATGGTTGCTATTCCAAGAGTACTATATTTTCAATTAATAATAAATTAGTAATAACCAGTATTGATTTCTTATATTGTGATGTGCATTATTCATAAATGAAACATGGTGTCATCATTGTTTTATGTGAATATGAAACTTGTAAATGGTCCGAAACGTCTAAAACTTAATACACTTGCGGTAAAACTGTTTTAAAGTTGTTTCATTTAGTAACATAAAATTTTGTAGTAAAAGTATTCAGTAATATTTCTTATAGCTTCTTCTTGTCTTTAAATGACTTTGAGTAATCCATAATTCAGCCGATTCCACATAGGAGACCATAACACAATGTAAATAAATTCAACCAAACATGAATTACCAATTATCTAAGAAACACTAAATGAATAAATGATGATGATTAAAGTAATGTTTAATACAAGTTCAGTTTTTTTCTATGTAAGTTGTTGTTATAATTAACATTTTAATTCGAGATAAAGAACTTTTTCTCATAATATAGCAAAATCATATAAAGCATTAAAACATATTGAATAGTTTTGCAAGACTAACCTTACGCCTCAATTGTTGGCTGACATCCATTTGTAGCGTAAGTAATAGCTGCTCTCTAAGCATGGTCTGTTGTTCAAATGGTAGTTTTGGAAAAAATTCAAAGAACTCGGCGCTGAGCAGCCGCCGCAAGAACACGGCCGCCGACTGCCTCCCATCATCACCTAAGTCTGCATTCTGGATGGCACCCACCAAGTGTAACACTTTTGTTTCAGTGGGTATGTTGTTGTATGCTTCCTAAGTGGATAGAATGTTTTTTTATTACAACAATCTAGCCGTTCAATTATTAAAAACAAAATGTAGTACTGGTAGAGACAAAACTAGAAATACAGACACTATGTTATTGATTAAAATAACTACAAGTATGTATCTCGTAGCACTGAATCTAAACATTACAAATGTACGAGGAATACGACCTTGATTAGATATTATGAACTAAATTATACTACTAGTGTTATTTTATCTCATACCCAATAAAAAAAATTGGAATTTATGGTTAATCCCATTATAGTGTAATACGAGGCTATTTAATGATCTAACCAATTTTAATTAATATCCGCCGGCAAACCACATGCCCACTACAGCGACAGAAGAATTTGACACTCGGTGTGAATTTAATAGGTTCTATGTATTGTATAAACTCTTGATTGTACGAGGATCATCATGTTCAAATAAACATAATTGGATCATAATTTTCATTAAACAAAGCGAGGAATATGTTTATTAACGTGAAATATTTCGTTTCGGTTCCTCCATGACCACGTTTTGACACGAGGCAACGACTAAGTTTTATCAAAAAAATTCGTCTTGGTCTTTAGACTATCAAAAGACATTATAAATATTAATAGAAATCAAATCGTTACTTACTTCTGCTTGCGAACGGATGTCATTATCGGCAGATAATAAGCTGTTTAGTAACTGGTAAAATTGCGCCTGATCTCCTGCCATGTTGAACCTCTTGGAAAAGAAACACCTTTTTTTTTACAAAATAATCAGTTCGTTGCTGGCTCTTTTTTATTTTGTCTGGCAATCATTGATGAATTGCCAGTATGCAAGACACAGACCAACGCAAGAACTATAAGATACGTAGTATCTTCTTCTTGGTCTGTGACTATAAGTCAATGTATGAAACGAAGTTTCGCTTCTCCATGATAACTTCAGGTACGAGATAATTATTTCCATATTATTTCATTTTATTTATCGCCAATACACTACATTCAGTAATATTCATTGCAAGAGATCGAGATATGTTTTTTGGTACGAATGTTGAAAACTAACTTGAACTTCATCTATTTTAGAGTATTTCTCTTAATAAATGTAACTATATGAAAATGTGTGCTTCCATCGAAATAGTCATAAAGTTTAATTTTTTTCCATTTAATTAAACTAAATAATATAACGCGATTCCGAACGAAAAATTTTAATCGTTCAAGTATAAATGGTATAATACTATTAAAAAATAATCGATTATTAGATTGTTTAACGGGTATTATACCCGTCTTTATACAATCTAATATAATGCAACGCGAAAGTTTATAATCGATTATTCTTATGAAAATATTAGATTTTCTTATAGGTATTATTGGTTTTTGCCATGAAGCTAAATAAATAACTGAAGCCCAAACCCCTCTTTACCTACTTGAATCATAAAAATTTGACCTTGAATGCTTTCTATTTCATTCCTTATGTCCCCTTCCTCTCTTTCTAATAGGGTGTCCACACAACTACAAAATAAAGGAGACAAGTTTAAAGAGTAGAACATTAAGGCAAAAAAAAGTATCACATTTTCCTAGGTAGATGTAAAGTTTACACGTGACATTAATAGATCTTATCTAGATTCTTCGTCAAATATGAAATTGACTTTATTAAAGTTCCGTACAAAAAGCCTTTTTTCCGAATCTACTGGACCAAATCTTGTAAAATTGGTCATCCTTTGACCTAAACACAGATATACAAAGTATTTAATTTTTTTTTTATAAATAAGGGTTATTTTCTGGGGACAAATAAGGAAATTAAAAAAAAAACATTTTGCTAACCTTACTGTGTCGTACGTATAATAGTATTTAATGAGTCTCGTTCTCTAATAAAAAAATATCAATTTTTGAGTTTGATTAAAACTTAGCAGTGTGGGAATTAGAGTTGGCAAAAAACTCTTCTTAATAATCACCAGCCTATTAATGTACCCACAATGGGTCCATTCCGGATTGGAGGGTATTTACAACCGCAGATGCAATCGGGACAAACTGCTTAACGTGCCTTCCAAAGCACGGAGAAGATCTAATATGCAAGGTGAACTACAAGACTACAGACTACGATTGTCAGCTTACCTTTCTTCCGACCAAATTGAAATGGAATAAGCACCCAGTAAATATTTCACCATTTAGTCAATTTACTGATTTACATATCACATACTTCTCTTACATTCTCAAATGTAATTGTCATTCTCAGATAAAAATAAAACAACATTATGTTATTTTTAAATTTAATTTATATGTGACTAAAAAAGCACAGTTTTCATGACAATAAATACTATTAGATTGTTACCATAGCAAGTCTATCGGACAACCCACGACGAGATGTTGAAGGTGTAGAAAGCATGGTAAATACATCACTTTTTAGATCAGATTGTCCCGACTGGAAAAAAACGAATTATGGTTATTTTGTCTAAACCCTGCTATTAGGGAATCAAGATATTTCGAGACCATTTTTTCATGACATATTACATTAAGTAAAATAAAAATATTTTATTCCTTCCAAACGTGAACTTGTGGCTAGACGACCTTTTTCGCTTGTGTGTCATCTTAAATACGCGTATTTAAAAAGGACGTCGAGCCACAAGTTCGTGTTCTCACTCGGAAGTTTGTATTCTATTTTTGCTACCTAAGAATTAGTACCTAATTAGTAGAATATAGATTTTTACTAACCGCATCAGAATAAAAAGGAATAATTGTACGTTTTATAAAACTTATTTTTATTTGACACTTGATAGCCATTGACTTCTCCTTATTGGTACCTTGGGAAAACTAAAAGTGAAATAAAAAATATTAAGTTCAGTTTTACTGTTTATCCTTTATCTTCTTTTCATGGTCACCATATTAATGTTTGTTTATTTTTATTTTACAATGTGAACTGTGCTTTTATTAGAAAATTTCTGAAGTATGCTACTGTAAACAATTAAATCATATATTACTTTAGATACCATATTATTGTAAATGATCAAAAATTTAAGGATTCTACGTTAAAAATAATATTTTTATAAAATGCAAGCAGTCATTAATTATAGTAAAGAACATCTAGGATGCCATTTGCTTCCGCAACCTAGGACTACACATTTCTGAACCATTTTTCACGATTTGATAGCGAGAAATTTTTATATATGAATCACAATTTTCGAGTCGACAAAATTAGTAATTGTCATTCGCCATATTGACACACACGAGATTGCCATTTTTTAAGGATGCCATTTACCACAACAATAGGGAAATTTAGAAAAAAAAAATACAGTGTCTTATTCACATAGCATGGGTACGGTGACGTTTGGGGTTTGAAGTTTTTAGATACAAAAACTCGATGTTATTGAGTTTATTTCTAATAGAGATTTTGAGATCAACATATAAAACAGGATTTGAGAATAATATTTATTCATCAACTGTTAACACAGTTAACAAATGTCATCGTATCCATTCTCTGTGAAACGGTCTATAGTGGAATATAATTTTACAATTTATAGGTTTTAATAATAACTTAACAAATTAAATTGCAAGTCTGGATTATTGATTAATGAGATTTATAATATAGCCACCCAGGAGTCCAACGAAAGGTCAATAGAGGTCAAATAACTTTGCTTCAACCAATAGTTCTGAGTTTGGCCTCCAGTTCTTTTACTTCATCTTCATGGTATTTGCCCTTTTACTCGTAGAAATTGTTAAAAATGAGACTATATATAAACTAAAGACTTTTTGTAACGATAAACTTTCGAAATTGTCGTTTGAAAAATGACGCAAGGAGTAAATGTCTGTATAACAATACAGTTCGTTGATTCTGAATGTTTGATTAAATGAATCACTTAAAACTGTTTCAAAAACACAGAAAGAATACCATCATAGATGCACACAATAGTACTCTTTAACAGTTTGACCTTACATAATCAGGGGGTTTCAGATCTTCTCGCGCGTAAACAGAAGGACTTAGCGGAAAATAAATATTTAGCGGTTTCTGGTGGATTTTTCCACTTCACTTTGAGTAATTTTGGAAACTTGAAATTCATGAATGTAACCATAAGAAGTAATTTCAGTTACGTTTATTTCCACCTATTTTAAATTCGTAGGCTGGTATCACTGTAACGCAGTAGATTGCTCGGGAATTCCCCCACTTTTAGATAAGATTGTCAAAATGTTTCATTCGTTCATTGCCTTTCTCATTCGTTGATATTAAAAAAGAGGGAGACCGAAGAATTTAACTGTAAACTTTATCCCCCGCTCTACATTCTTCTACTACCGCTCTACTTCGCGACTTATTCAGGTGGCAAAAACTGGTTTGTAAGTTTATAGTAAAAAAAAATATTTCTTTCGCTGTAACCGAGTTCAAGTGTTAAAAATTTGAAACATGGAGGTGCCATTGAAGAAAAAAACAGTATTCACAGAACTATAGAAGTGAGTGGGTGAACAACAAACCTTGGCTTAGACCCGTGGTAGGTGATTCAATCGGCGCTTCAATGCACTTATTGAAGCGCCGATATTTGCGCGAAAGTGATTGATTTAAAAAGACATATGAAAACAAAGAAACATAAATCAAAATCTCAACTTGTATCCCAAAATAAACTAATTAAATTTCCGACAGCTGAACCAGCGAAATGCAAGCAGTGCGCCAGAGCTGAATGTACGTTAGCCTTATTTATTGCAGAACATACTTCCATTCGCCAAATTGATAATTTAACTGATGTATGCAAAAAATGTTTTAAGGATTCGAAATCATCAGTAGACATGAAATTGCACAGAACTAAATGCACACAGGTGATAAATAACATTCTAGAACCACATTTCAAAAAAGAACTATTGACTGACACTGGTGATCAAAAATAAAGTTTATTGTTGGACGAGTCCACTGAGATAAGCGTCACGAAGTATCTTGGAATAGTCATAAGATATTTCAGTTTGAAACAAAGCAAAGTGGTGTCTGCTTTTTTGGCTTTGCAATCGCTTGAAAGTTCAGACGCTACTGGGATTGTAACAGCATTGGTGAAATGCTTAAAAGGTAATAATCTGGACTTACAAAATTTGGTGGGGATTGGAACCGATGACGCTGCTGTTAGGACTGGATACAGGCACAGTGTATATGATTCTTAAAACACAGTATAATCTACCGCACCTCATTCTTATTCCCTGTGTCTGTCATTCTCTGCAACTGGCGGTAACTCACGCTTGCCGCATACGCATACCTTGCCGAGAAATATTAAGTTTCTTGTTCGCGAAACATATAATTGGTTTTCTCATTCAACGAAACGCCAAATTGAATACAAGCATGTTTTTCAAACAATCAACTGTGGTGAAGAACTTTAAAGATCCTCAATGTATGTGACACGAGGTGGCTTTCTATTGAACCTGCAATCGTCAGGATAATATCGCAGTGGTATGAATTAAAGTTACATTTCCAAACCACTAGAGAACACTGCTATACAGCCGAAATGTTATATGTTATGTATAATGATGATCAGAATCTACTATATTTGTACTTTCTAAAAAGCGTCCTTGGTGCAGCAAACTATAAAAATCTTTGAAAGCGAAAAAGCAAATCCAATGAAACTGTTGAGCACTCTGATGATGTTGCTACGTTCAATATGTCAACGAGTTATCATGCCAACAGCAGCAACAACTGACAAAGCTTTTATAAATTTGTAAATAAGAGACCACCTTAGTCCCGTTCCACACCTTGGCTATGTTTTTGAATCACAACTGCAGAAATTTCCAGCTGATCATACTATAAATATTGCTACAGTAAAAACACGCTGTATAGATTTCAATGTGAAGTTGGGTGAAGAAATTCAAAAACGACTACCAACGAACTATAAAACTCTGGAAAAAATGAGACTGTTGTCTGAAGAAGAAACATTGAAACAATCAAAAGACAATTCCATAACAGATCTCGCAAAAGAAATCGGAATTTGCGACGAAAAGATCGATAAGATTTTGCAGTAGTGGCAAACAATTAACTTCGTAGATTGGAGTCCACTTAATGGAGACCCTGTTACCTTTTAGGCTAAGGTAGCGGCATACAAAAATGCAGCTGATGTGAATACCTTCCACGAATTATGTGAATTTGCTATCGCCGTCTTGTCATTGCCGCACTCAAATGCCGAAGTCGAAAGATTATTTAGTACCATGAGTATCATCAAAAATAAACTACGTAACAAGTTATCCGAAAAAACTTTGAATTCCCTGCTTACCATCAGAAACCAACTGAAGATAAAGGACAAGAATTGCTCCACATATGAAATTCCTGACGAAGTTCTCGATCAAGTCGGCAAGTGGAAACCGAAAGCAACTACAGAGCAAGGAGAGGCTGGAACTTCAGGCTCCAATACGAGTATTTATGAAGATGCAGCGGACGCAATATTTGATTTGAACTTTTTTTGATATTTGATTGATAATTGATATTTGATTGTAATTGAGGAAAACATTGTACTTATTTTTTGATTGTTTATTGTTCTTTATGGATAGTTAAACACTTTATTTCCAATCTGCCTTTATGTAATGATTACCTGGCTTATCTTAGCATTACATAATGCGTATATGTATAAGTTAGTATAAACAAAATAAAACTGGTCGTGTTACACATGTAAAAAGTTTAGCGCTTTCTAGTGGATTTTTTTTTGCTATATTTTTGTCATATCTGGCGGTATTTTCAGACACTTTAGCGCTTTTCAAATTTATAGAACGGCAACACTGCTAGTCTGTCAGGCTACCTACGACCGAGTGAATAAAACATACAAAAACAGTACATAAATGGCATATGAATTGTAATTTAGTTGAATTTATGAGATAAAATTGAAAATGAGTATATGTTTAGTGCCTTAGAATAATTAAATCGCACTGAAAATATTTCTATTAATTTCATCATGGTACGTTATATTAATAAGATAACCTCTATTGTGTAATATCAAGCAGTTACTTTACACTTAATTTATATTATTTTCAGGCAAGCTCTATCATATTGGCTGGTTTAGGTATGGCTGCGGTGGGTTTTGCTGGCCGATACGTTCTCAGACAAATTCCTAATGCTTCAACGAAATTTTCAGAGGCTATAAAGAACTTGCCAAAATTTGATAGTGAAACTTTAGTAAATTCCAAATATTATAAAGGTGGATTTGAATCTAAAATGACAAAACGAGAAGCAGCTCTAATTTTAGGTGTCAGTCCTACAGCTTCTAAAGCAAAGGTTATATGAAACATGATAGTTTAATTTGTTAAAATAAAATTGAGTTAATAAATATTAACAACACACATATTTCTTTCAGATACGAGAAGCCCATAGAAGAATAATGTTATTAAATCATCCAGATAAAGGTGGCTCACCTTTGATTGCTGCTAAAATTAATGAAGCAAAGGATGTCTTAAAAAGTGGGAAATCATAGAACAATCATCAATTTCAGAATAAATATTACTAGTTATTAATTTATAGATCCAAGTAAATATTATAATAAGTTCTTTGTACAGAGCGAGCAATCATTTCTATATATTATCAAATTAAAAACATCTTTTACTTATCAATAGTTTATAATATGTATAAAACTATCATATTATTTACTTAGTCTCTTTAGCTGTTTTTTTTTTAATAGTTCTGAAATAGTTAAAATTATAAAGTAGTTCTATCTTACATTTTCATTAATAGTTTTTCCTTCAAAATTTCTGGTGACAGATTTTTGTTTCTTCATTATTGTATTGATAAACTTCATTATTGTACGGACATAAAACTAGTACCAAAACCAAGATTTTTCTCATTTGATGCTTGGTACTACACAATAACAAGCTATATGCTAAGCAATATACCAACACCTCACAACTAAATTTTCATAATAAATTACAAGTTAGGAAGAAAATCTGTCCTTATAACTAATTAATTGTGAATGTACCCTAAGAGAAATTATTTATTTTTATATCACACAATGGGGAAGTTTCACTATTCATTGATCATTTTGTCTTCAATGATTTTTAATAACAAAACAATAATACATTATTCAATACTTTAATTTCTATGCATTGCATAAAGCTTTGTTCACAATGAGAATTTTTAAGCAATTAAAATATTTTAAACACATTACGTATAAAACAGCAAATTTACAGTAATTTATATACAACAGTGTTTTCCACTGAAAAGGAGTAGCAGAGCTAACTATCCAATATTACAATCATAATATAGTATAGTACACGCAGCTACACGTCAGGCTACCACAATATGTCGTATTTCCTCAATTGATTCAGTATTCTACATACAACACATTACAGTGTAAAATCAAGTACAAAAATTTTTAGTTTGGTAGAGCCTGAAGTGGTGCTGACTGTACTTAAAAATATGTAAACAACTTGTGCTTATTCTTGGTGGGTACAAAATTTAAATAGTTGATTTTTATGAATTAAAATACAAGCAAAACTTCTATATATGTAAATGATTTTATGTGATGTAATATTTCTCATCTTCTTTCCCTGTAATGTTAGAAAGTAAACCTATATGATTTGAAATTTTAGTCTTTGCTATTGAATGAAATATATCAGTCTTTTTGCTTGTTTGTCTGTAAATCAGTTAGCAAAAATGCTGAAAGTGTAAATAGTATATGTATAATCATTTTCAGTTGCCTTTTACAAATAAAAGTACTGCATCCTAAAATACTATTTTGGCGTTGGACAATCCAATAAAATATTGTTGCAATATTTATGCCATGCCATTAATTGGTGGTAGCCATAGTTCTTATGTCATAGCAATAATTTCACATGCATGCTGTTCATTTAAAGCAACATGGCATTCTTAAAAACCAAAATATTTAAAATATAAATATTAAATAACACTTAAAAGTACTTCAAATCCAAATTCGTCATGAGTTCTAGAAAACTGATTAAACATTGACAATAAACTGCGAAAATAGTGTCAAGGAAGGAAATGCAAAACTATCATATTAATTATTGAATTCTTTGAGCAAATCAAACCACAATGTTTTTAAAGTTAAATTTATCACATACCTAATAATATTGTATGTATGTTAAGAATTTTATTGAATCCACTATTCTATATAGTTTGTTGAAAATATACTTAAACATTTGTAAAAAAATATTTCCATTCCCTGTATCAGCTATATAACATTTGTATATTGATTAATTTACATAATTATGTGACAGAAGATTTCCTTAACATCAGTTAAGTTCGATTTGGTGGTTCAAGAAGATAATTTTGTCTCTCATCGTGGCTCCTTTTGCTGCTGTTCTCGCCTCTGTTTTGCAAATCGTGCCCTGAGCTTAGTAATGGTGGAATTAGATAATGTTCCAGGTACTTTGAAAATCGCCTGAAAGAGAAATTATAAGTATTTATAAATTAATGAATCACCACCAATTGTGTAATAAACGAATGCATTAAGAATTAAAATAGTTTAATGGGTCAAGTACTAATTGACATCTATTGCTTACACAGTGAAAAAATAACTTCAATTAATTATAAAGTGTAAAGATCAAATTTATGCTTTAAAATATATGACTTGGAACATTTTTAAATATTTTTATATAATTAAATCTTGCTTGGACCATGACATATCGGCATAACTCTTTGGAAATTACTAAAAATACCTGCATAAATTCATGACAATGCAAAGCACTGGCATTTTTAACAATCGTCTTGAAGCACTCTGCCAATGATGTAAAATCATTACATGCCATAATTGCTCCTCTGTTACTTTTTATCAGAGTAATGCACACCCTGAATAATATCTTAGAGCCTTCATAGAATAAACAATCCCATATCCGTAGCACCGTCTCTATAGGTAAAACTTCAGCAAATAGACACACAAACCACTTTGTGGTGATAACTGCCCATGGCAACCCTGCAACAAATTTTTCCATTGAAAAATTACAATCGGGTATTCCTAATATTTGTAATTGAAACCAATTAGTAATATATCAATTAATTATCCCATTAATATTATAAATGTGAAAGTTTCTTTGTTTGGATGTTAAGATGTTTGTCCGTCAAACACACTGAAAATACTAAATGGGTTTTGATGAAATTTGGTATTCAGATAGGGTATTAGCTGACTTAGATAATAGGATTCTTATTAAACCACTAAACATTTCCCTAGGGTTCGCCCGCTGGCGAAAGCTAGTAAACAAATTTATTTAACCTTCTAATATATTTAATTTAATATATTATTTGAAACCATTCCTTGTATTTATTGGGAATACAGAAACAAGGAATATTTAATTAAAATAAACAGTGATTAAATAACTTATCAGAACCAATATACCTAAGTTTATCACGTGTTGGTGTACATCGGGTACTTTAGATTTGACTAGCTCTGATAATACTTCAATGTCCACTATCAGCCCATCCATTGTCCTTGTGTAATAATCAGGTAGAATATTTTCAACTAATACTTTAAGGAGCCAAAATGAAATTTCTTCACTTTTAGTAGCCAATAATAATAGTCCTGAAAGTTGAATGTTTCAAGTTGTGTAAGAGGTATAACTAGTATATAAAATTGAAAAATAATGCGCAGTGTTCTGACAAATATTTAATATTTGGTGGACATTACCAGCAATATAGTTCAATCCTTGACAGTAACCAACCACTCTATTATTATGTGCATAGGCTATGAGTATATTAAAGAGGTGTGTCTGGTGATTTGCTTCTTTGGTGAAGAATATATTATCAGGAAAAGTCCTTGGCAAATCAGTTTTAACAAGATCTACCAGCTCCTTCTCAAATGGACCATCCAATATCTTTTGATATAAGTCAGGTTGTTGTTCTTTCATAATTTCTGCTTCTGATATTGCCATCCAAACTAATGGACGATGTTCACCTGCAATAGTAAATCTTTGTTGGTCTTGTTCACGAAATGATATTACCTCTACTTTAGAGAAACTTGCATACCAATGTTGTTATATCTGTATAAGCATATGTTATATTTGAATCTTGGTTAGATTAATATAGACAGTAATCTGTCCTACATTATCTTATAAATATATATGTCTGCTGTATTTCTTATTCTGGGTACAAAGGTGTTTAACATAACTTAAAAACACTAAATATACAACAAATGAGAACTTACAGGTTAGTCATTGGTATAAATTAAACTTACTTGGGATTCCCTTACGTACATATCTTTTCACAGTATTAGTCCGTTTGACAGATTTCCCTTCTCCAAGGAGAGCTGCCCATTTCTGAGCTCTTGTCGCGAGAACTTTTAAATACATTGACATAAAATCCTCATAACTTTCATAATCGAAATCATCTTGTCTTTCGAAACCATACTCATCAACAGGGCTAAAAAACAGGATATATAAATACCACGGAAACAGAGCCAAAATTGATAAAATCTGAGTGAAGAATAAAATACCTGAATTGAGATTGTGCCATCTTTTCTTTATTAATCGATGTTTGTCTTAGTTTTTTATAAACTGCATATCGGTTAACACTTTATTTCAGTAATAAATTTTAGTACCTACGCCCCCAAAACAAATTATCAACCCCACATGATGACAAACACAGACCATTTATTTTAACTAGTGTAATAGACAGACCATTATTCGAAAAGAATGAGTAAGTATTCAAAGTACCAGTATATGTATTATCTATGATTCAAAGAAAACATTAGTTCCCGAAATCAAACTTGATGTTGCTACGGTACGTTCCTGATTTCTCCATGACAATCCTTCCGGTTTTCTTTCATCTTTAAAAGTAAACTAATTTTCAAACCTTAATAAAAAGCTCATATTCTATTTGTACTTTTTCATATTTGTATTGATATCTAAGTTTCAAACTTTTCAAATATCTGTTTTTTAATATGTTACTTAAAAGGAACGGAAATTACTGTATTTGGTTCATTCGTTTCCTGCAAAAATCAACTTTTGCTAGAGTCGTCATCTAGTGGAGGTGCTTTATAGTGCTTTAATTTTTTAAATACTTCCTCATTAAAATAACTACGTAAGGTCTACCCACATAATGTGGCCATTGCATTTTGATATAAATTAGGAAGTATTTTTTAAAAAAACGAAAGCACTAAAAAGCATCTTCACTAGATGGAGATTCTAGCAAAAGTTGATTTTTGCAGGAAACGAATGGACCAAAGATAGTCATTTCTGTTCCTTTTATCTAAGATATTAATAAAACCTAAATTTCCAAAGTTTGAAACAGATATTAATACAAATACGAAAAAATAGAAATAGAATATGAGTTATTTACTGAGTTTTGAAATCGAATTTATTTTAAAACATTAAAAAAACCGGAAGAGTTTTCATGGAGATATCAAGAACGTACCGTAGCGACATCTAGTTTGATTTCGGGGACTAATGATTTTTTTTTAATATTTCCTCATTGGCTACAAATGAGATTATCTTTATCTTCGCATTAACATAGAACATACACCACAATATTTGAAGCTGCAAAATATTGCCCCTGTATGGGGTTAGATTAGATCTCTTTGCCTTCAAGTAAAAAGTCAAACAACAACAACAAGGTTTAGGGGAGGGGAAAAGAAAAGTTGCAGATTTTTTGGGGTTTTTCTCAATAAATAAAAATATGGGTCCTCCACCGGTAGTGACTGGGATATCGCCTAAAGAAGGTCCTCCAGGCACAAGAGTAACCATCCGAGGAGAGTTTTTAGGAACCAGTGCTATAGATCTTATTGGTAAGAATATTAAAAGCTTTCGAATAATAAGTTCAAGTTCAAAATAATATAATAAATTATAATATAGTGATAGAAACTATCAATTTATAAACTTTGTATTACAAGAACTGCTACTGCTTATTCTTAAGCAGTAGCAGTTCTTGTAATACAAAGTTTGTAATACAATGTCCTACATTTAATAAATTTTTATTATTCTTTACATAGGCTTAAAGATTTGTGGATGTGATTGTCTGCTCTCAGCAGAATGGAAAAGTAAAAATAAAATAGTGGCACGATCAGGACCTTGTAAAGGACGAGGAGACATTATTGTCACTACAAAATCTGGAGGAGAAGGAACTTCTACTGTTCAATTTAGAGGTAATCAGTATATTGATACTTTGGGACTCAAAGGATGTAACCAGCAATTTCTCCAAAATGAGTTTTTAATACCATCTTATTCAGTTTTTTCTATGTTATTGTGATATTAGAGTTCTCATGTTCTGAAAACAAAAGTAAATATAAAACCAAATTATAAGGTTGTAATTTTTTGAACATTAAAGCAATTATTATTAGAGATCGTAAAATTATTAGACCCATATTAAATATATCCCTCCAGTAGTCCAATTAATGAAACACATGTAACAGCAATTTAGTTGTTGAGCTCATTTTCCTATTCACATCTATGACCCTAGCCTATTTTAAAGTAGTTCTTTTGGAGTATCATTGAAACATATTCACCTAATCTGTCATGTCAAACTTATGAAAAATCAGATGCTAAGGGCTATTATGCTAAACAAATGACATTTCTTTCTATTGGGTGCAGTTGAACAAAAGTTCATAAATGGTATTATTGACATAGTAAAACATAGAAACAAACAATATGGGCTTTGGTTAGGATTTTATTCTAGTGGTTATCTATTTATTCCATTGGATATAAGTGAGATGCAAAGAAGAAATGAGGCTTTCAAAAATGGTTTGATTTCTTCATAAAATAGAATGACTTCAAATAAAAAAAAAAAAATAGAAAATATACTGATAAATAATTTTTATTACAAAATACTAAAAAAAAAACATTTATCAGTATTATATTTTTATAAAGAATAAGTTTTTAGCATCTTGTATTAAGAATAAGTTTCAGTATGGCATTGTGAATGCAAAATTAATAAAAATATAATACTGGTAAATGTTGAAATTAAATATTTTGAAGTTGGTTAAAAATGGACTTTGAAATGCCTGTAAAGAACTACATAAAAATGTTTATGCTCATCAAGGACTTAGAGCTAACGACAGAACACGAATTTCTGTAATCTGTGGTTGAGAGTTAGTTTCATTGATGAGAGCACTCATATAATGAGTGAAGAACGAAAACCTAATGTGAGGTCTGTGTCTGTCCTCTCCATAAAATATATATTTGTCACAATGAAACCGGCTTAATAGGGCTTATTTTTAAGTTAAACTTCAAAGAATTATAAATGTGTTAAATTCTATTTAACTAAATCTTTATATGGCTAAAATAGTTTTTAAAAATATTTATTGAACATGCATATATAGTATAATAGATAGACATGCATAAAGTTTATAGGTATATTCTTTTATTTCCTAAAGGCCACTGACGAGATATTGGTGGAATTGTGTGAAAGCAGTTAGGCCATAAATTCAAAAAGAAAGCAGAAGCAAATTTTTATTGCCTTTGACAGATAAATGTCGCTCACATACAATTTCATATTAACTCTGCCAAATAATAAGTTAAAAAACACAAAACCATTAATTAAAAAAAAAAGAATAATAAGTTCTATTCTTTATTTATTAATTCATATTTTAAATTAGTTTAAGTTAATATTCTTTAGTGAAATTTGACTATCATGTAATAAATATCTAAATGTACTGTAAAAAATATGTTTAAACAGCACAGTAGCATACAAATTAATCTTACTGGCGACTGTATTGGTTTTCAATTGATGAGTTTTGATCCTATAGAGTTGAAGTTCTATTGTATTTGATGAAATGGTTTATAAACTTCAGCATTATTTGGATTGTTCATAGTTACATGGGCTGTGTGGGATGACACAGTGATCATTTTAAGGGGCATAAAAGACATACATTACTTTGTTGGATATATTCACCAGCAAACTTTTAAATAATAAATATTTCTTAACTTTCAACAAGTCAAGTTTTTATTAAACTTTTCTACCATCTAGATTTTATCATAACTTGACTGCATTTTAGAGCTATCCGAAAAAAAAATATTTTACTGATATTTTTATTACCCCACTTATTATTTATTTAGAAATTTGTTAAGGCTGCACTTAAGAAGTGAATTTGCACGATACAGATTACTAAACTTACGTGATAACAATAACAATTGACTGATATTTTCTATTTATTTTTAAAAAATGATCAGGCACCATATACTCCGACGGGCGTTTTTCAAGAAGAGTTACTTTGGTCAATTATAAAAAACGTTATTTTCGGATATGCATTTTTTATGTAAATTGTTTATTATTACTTTTTAATATGGTCAAAAATATGGTTCCAAAACCAGTGGAATAATATTTTATATTAAAACAATAATATTTTATTTATATAAAACACATAAATAAAATATTATTGTTTGGTAATAATGTATCTGTGACGCAATATCGTACAGAAAAAGACAATCTCCTTTTGATTTTAGTTTTTTGGCTCTCCTGAAAACTCATGTTTTGGTAATTTTTTAAGTGTAAATTAGAATTTTTGCAAAAAAAGCTTGGAAGTGGTTATAAAAAATAGATTTTCAGCAATCTATACTTTCTATTTTCATATAACGTCACGCGAACACTCGCGTGTAATGCGCTGAAACCTTGTCTAAATAACACTATTTAGACAAGGTTTCAGCGCATTAGCAATTTACAAGACTTAAATCCTTCACAGACATGTTTGGGCCTAATACGATATTCATAAAATGAAATGAAAAATTCTTTAATTAAAGACTTGGTTGGAATAAAGTAAAGTATTTTTTTTAAGGCTATCATGAATCCATTGGTCCTGTCAAAGAAAGTGCAGTTTGGGTTGAGGAGTCTATACCTCCTGCCATGCCATGGGGTCGACGACCAATGTCACCTGTGTCATACACACCACCTGATCCCTTAGGGCTTTCTACTGAAGGCGATGACTGTAAATTTCCTGAAGAAGAACTCCATGAATTGTTCCCAGACGGGTTAGTTGATAATTATTAGAATTTAACTTAAGTTATAAAAGAAGATAAATATTTTTATATCAAGTTATTACACAATGAAACATAAAAAGTCAACTTCACATTGATAAATTGAAACAATTTTTCAGATCTGGTAAACTGTCAGATGAGAACTTTCAACCCGGCTGGTACTTGCTGGAACATCATAGTAACACTTCTTATGAAGACTTAAAGGCTGGAATGGTATTTCTCCAAAGAAAGGTATGATTCCTCACAAAATGTATGCTAAGATGCCTATATATAGTAAAAAGTATTGTTTGTCTACATCTTGTGTTTCTGTTGTTACTTCTTTTCTAGAGTTAAATAGCAAAAAATTAAATTTTACTGTTAAAGTATAATGAGTCACATATGAATCCAGGTTGAAGGTCAAAAAGAAGGGCAACTTAGTTTCTTGAAAGCAAATACGGGAGCAGTAATGGACCAGCTGGATCGACTTGTTCTGCTTAAGAACATGTATGAAGAGGATCAAAGAAAGAATGGCAAGGAACCTTTACCAAGTCTACAAGCAGCCATAGAGGGTACAGTTTATATTTCACTTGCTATTTTCCTGCGATTTCACCTGCGTCCATTAAAAATTTCATTAATTTAAAGTGATATTATCCATGCAAATTTGACATTCATTAGAGCTTAAAGGCGTCATTAAACCTTAATGAACGCTTGCGCAACTGACCGTATGTCACCCGCATATGATGCAGGTTCCCGTAGGTGAAAGAATTTTTAAAATGAGTCCTGTTCTTTTTGAACCTATTCAATGCAAACAAACAAAATATATCTTTCCTCTTAATAATATTACTATTTAATAACTGAAAGTGTATACAGATAATTATTTATGAACTTATTGGACCATATTTAATAAAGAGTGGCTAATACCTGGAATAAATTGCCCGAGAATATGGAAATTTCTTCAACTGCTGTTCCAACTGCAGTTGATAATGTCAACCAATTTAAGAATAGACTAGACCTATACCTGAATATGTAAAGAGAACGCTGACATTGGATATGGACACATATCAATTGTGAAATAAATTATTTTTCAGATTCAATATCTTTAGCTGATTCTCTATTTTCTGAGATTCTGTCTCGTAAGGAAAATGCAGATAAAACCCGTGAAGCTTTATCATTGCTTACGAGGCATAAGTTTCTCTTTCAATTGCCCTCATCCATAGATAGAAATATCAGGAAGAAGGAATACGATTTGGTAGTCAATGATTATACAAGAGTAAAGAATTTATTTGGCAATACTGATATTAAGGTATTGTGCTTTATAGTAGCATTGTTTCTTTATAAATAAATTATTGGAAACTAAATTAAGTACGAGCTTTTTGCAGCTGTTTCAGAAAATTCTTGCTGAAATTGATAAAAAAATTGATGATTTAAAAACAAGATTATATAATAGGATGAAAACTATGCCCATCAATGTCCAAGAACAAACAAACTATATCAGGTAATGTTTGTTTTATTTGTTTATATATAAAGCACGGTTCGAGACTGATAATTATGCTATATGCAATTTTTATTTTTTTTATTTTAAATATTATTTTGTTTAGATTATTAATAAGTTTGAATTGGGAAGGCGACGCTGCGTGGACTGCTATTACCAGTCGCAAAGATTACCTCATGAGCCTCATGAACAAAGTAAAAGATCATTTCAAGAAGAAGGAGGACCAGGAAAATAATGAAAAAGGTTTAAGTTATTAATCGTCTTATAATGTTTATTAATTTGATAATTGGTTTATGTATATTTGGAGGTAACGAAAGTTGAACAATGTATTAAAAAAAAAGATAAAGACGAAATATACAAAAAAATAATAGTAGATTTGTTAATAGTAGGCTGATCAAGCCTAAAGTGAAGTTTAGTGAGACAAAAACTAAAATGCCATCATGTGCTTCTCAATCTAATGTAGATTAAATAGTTTTGTACTAAATTATATAAACAATGACGTTATATGTTGTTATATACTGTTATTTGACACATACGGCTATAGAAATCTTTGTTCTCAAAAGAATTACAAAATTTCACTTACTGGGAATCAAAAAACAATAAACAATTATATCACTAAAATGTACTAAAATGTATAAAAAAAATACATGCACATGTATATAGTATATCATAAAATGTCAAATTTTCGCAATTTTCGATCTTAACAATTAACATATTAAGGTTTAAAATAGATAAAAGAGTTGTACGTCAAAATTATTACTATATATGTTGATTCAATTATAAATTGATGTATCTGTAGGTAAACGGAAAGTTAAGGAGTCAGAAAACGAAGGTTCTTGGAGCACCACGCGCATGTTATGGTGTGGGGCGGCGTGCGGGGCGTTATCCACCGAACTTAATGCTCTATGGCCGCTGGCGAGGCGATACTTTGCTGGTGAACTAGGTGGCCAACCTTCGGCATCAGAACGACATGATAGCCTCAAGGCAAGTTATATACTTTTATAATGTGAATAATTGAGGTTAATGAATAATTTTTCATATTTTTGGTGAATTTTATAACAAGGAATAATTTTTCATATTTTTGATCTGTGTTATAATACGTATATGTGCGACTATTATTTCTAACCCAAAAATAATACTAATCGCATGCGTGATATGACGAACTTGAGAACGTTTTATCTACACCCAAATGTCACTTCTCAGGTACGTTTATACGATATCTCACCCTCGACTCGAGAAAAATGACATTTGCTGTAGACAAACCGTTTTTTGCTGGATATTGTAGGTAGAGTATGATTTGATAGGCTTTTACTAATTGTGCTGATTAGGTTAAGTTAGTAACGCCTGTCTAGGAGAGACTCGATGTACCCGAGCCTCTCAATCCGTGGGGAGATCAATGAGGGAGACGAGTGTGTGATTTAAGCGACGGTCCCGGATCTCATCTCCGTTGTGAAGGTGCACAGTAGGGGTATTAAGCCTGTCCTTTTAAGGGCGGGTGAGGGGGCGGGTAACCATGGTTTAAGGCTTAAGGATACATTTCCCCTGCGTTAAAATAGGGGTATTGATGGGTAGGCCTCCGGGGACCCAATGGGCACGGCAAGTTCACGGAGGAGAATCCCACACACCCTGTTGCTTGCCAGATAAATGCCAAAAGCATTTCCTTGGCGTTAAAATAAAGATTAAGTAAGTAAGCTGTTCTTAAAACCTCAACATCAGCCTTTTACGCCCTAACTAAAGGCCTTCTTTATGGTTAAAGAGGATAGGCCATGACCCTTCTTGCTACCATATGCAGCCGGGACCAACGGTTTAACGTACCTTTCGAATCACGGAGTAGCTTGAGATAATAATTTTTAGTCACCCATCCCGTGACCGACCTTTTCGAAAGTTGCTTAACAACAACGACCGCTGGCCTCGGCGATTATCCACTACGCCACCGAACTCTTCGCCTACGCCAACGAATGTTGTTATTAAATACTATCCTTCATCATCAGCCCTTTTACGTCCCCGCTGCAGGGGCTCAGCAGGCCTTCCTTATGGATGGTTAAAGAGAATGAGCCGTGATCCTCCGTGTAAGCCAAATGCGATTCGTGAATAAAATATTATTCGTATAAATTATAATTGCAAATAAAAAAAATGCTCAAAAATACTTGTAAATCTTAGAATTATGTTAATTTTCTAACTTGGACATGATTTACCAGGGTTCGGAGTGTAACATTATCGCGATAATTATATCGTTGACGATCAATATACCTTGATAATTATAAAACATTACATAAATTCTTTTGTAATTTTAGGACTTGTTATTAAAAGGGAATCATCTTTAAACAGCTATAAAATATGTTTTTCCTGATAGAAAAAAATCTCTAGGATGAATCTACAAAAACAAAAAAAAAAATATGCCCCCTTTTATTAAAATATGTTTTTTTATTTTTTTATTTATTCATATTTTCATTTCACTTTTTGTTAAATGTGAAATCAAAGTTAATTGTTTTGTTTGTACAATTTTTATTATTTAAAACAAAAAAGCACTTATTAATGTATTTAAAAAATTATTGCCAGTTACTTAGAATAATAAGTTAGTGGCAATAATTATATAATTATCAGATATTTATTAATTAATTTATAAGTATGTATCTGATAATTATTCAAAATATAATAATCTTGATAACTACTGACCCTGCTTATATTAATATAATTTATAAGGTCTTTTTTGTGTAGGAGATGATAATAGCGGCTGTGGAATTGTTCTCTGAGCATATGCGCGCTTGTCTACTGAGCGGCGGCGGGGGCGGCGGCGGCGGCGGCTTACCGGCTGATGCGATGCGCGCGAGACTCAACGCCAATCTGAGAGATTTACGCGAAACGTACGACGCCCTACTGAAACTAGACCTACCCTCACAGGTATTCATGAATTGTTAAAGTTGCTGAAGCCAAACTATACCTATTATTGATTTATTTACCTTTTATATATTTTTTTCATTTGAATTGTCTATTGACTGATTCAATAGTTGTTTTGTTTGTGTTCTAATATGTTTTCTGAGGTTTTTACCCTACTTGTCTTTTATATGCCTTTTATTACAATCCGCAGTCTTTAAATGCTATTAGATTTACTTATTGAGTTCCCGATCACTAAGTAAATCTTTTAAGTATTCACGGCTCTGTTGAAAGCACCGTGATCACGAAGGTACTCCGAAACCTGGTTATTAATAATTATTCTAATGTTAATGACCAAGAATGTTTAAAACATCATATTAATTTATACTATATATGGTATTTGATACTATTGAAAATAAGTTGCATGTTGTGGTCATCCTGTTAGATAATAACCTAATAAAGTTTATTTCTTAGAATCTGCAGACAAAATATGTTTAGCTTTAGTAAAATAACATTAAAAATGCAACATTTTTAGGAATTTAATGAACGACGAAATCGTCCTGTAATTAATTTTCGTCGCAACCAATAACAGGTTCCGTTTACTGGCATGTGACGTCACACGCAAACAGGAAGCAGTCATGTCATAACAGTATTATTAGAGATACGCAAAATTTATATTTATATATACAATTTGTAGTTCATTTTTATAAACAATACCAGAGTAGATATAAATGTAAAACATAAAATTTAACTTCAATTTCTCTTCTGTGATACTATTTTATTTGCATACTTTTTAAATAAACAGTTGTTAAGATAAGGTTATGTCGCCTTCACATATTTACAGGCTTGTGATGTCACAAATTCCACGTGATCAGCGCCGTTACTTTAACAAATTTTTTCATCGAAAATACATCGATACACAGATTCCCATTAAATATACTAGAAATTAAAATTACAAAAAGTATCAATAAATAAATATTGACAGTGTGTTTATAATGTCTCAAACAACCATAATATAAATTAGTTTTCAGAAAAGTGTCAAATGCCCTATTGCATTTGATTATTTCTAATACTTGATCTACTCGCAATTTTGAGTGAATCGTTATCAATATAAAAACTTAAGTTTTATTATCATTATGTTTTTGCTTAGAGTGGCAATGGGAATTGATAAATAATGTGTATCTCCTTTGTTGCCATTAAATTAACCTGTTTATTAGTCACTATATTAGGTAAATAATAAGAAAAGGTCACCAGAATTTTGCAAATGTCAATATTGTACGATAATACGGAATTCTGTGTATTAAGTTTGCGGTTAATCGTTTAGTTAGTAATTTCAATTAGTAATTTCTGTTTTTTTTTTTTTTTTTAAATAAATAGTACTTTAATATCTGAGAAATAATGTAAAAGTAAGAGCATGTTTGCGATTAATAGTTTTGAAGAGATGTAGTACTGTGTTTGTGTAACTGCTGCTGGTCGGCCTAAAACGCTCCCTACAAGTTCCAATTGTTTTAATTGTAAGACACAACCCTATTCGGGCTCAAAATAGGATTTCCATTCTTTATACCAAAATACGTGGAATAGCTTCTTTCTATTGAAAAAAATAGTACTTTTGTATGTTTATGCAATGAAAAACTACAATCCACCATAAAATGGTGGATTATGTTAAAACTTTTATAATACACAAAATTAATAAAGTTGAACATAAACCTATAATTCCAGCCTCTCAGCATAGTGGAGAAGGTGATATTCGATTACCGCGTGTATGGCATGACGGTATTCTTACAACGCGCCCATAAACGTGTCAAGGGACTCGCCGAGAAAGAGACCTGGAAGATCGAGGAATTCTCAGACTATGGCGCTATCACAAACTTGGTAAGACCTAAATAAAACATTAATTCATATTTATTATTATAATAGCTTAAAATAATTTAAAGCTCCAATAAAATTACAAATTCTTCGCCTTTAAACTAATGTAGTGGGGTTTCAGTGGAAACGCTTTCCGTCTTCACTACCTTTATGACGTCATCATCTTATTCTCAATATATCCTACGAAGCTTCAATAAATAGCTTAGTGGCTTTCAAGGTTTCCGCGGAATTATAAGTCATATCTGGCACATAGGCATATCTGGAGTTGTACCCACAAATACTCATTGAACTTAAAAAAAATAATAAATCTACACGAAACCACCACTAATGCATGTGATGTATTAGAAGTAGATGTTAAGGATAGTAAAGCTGCTATTCATGCTCAGAATGTTTATATATTTTTACCTCAGTTGTTAGTCTTAAATGTATTAAAATATTTGTTAGTTTCTTCTTTATGTCTACGTACACTTAATTTTACTTGATACCGCCAACGCCTTTATCGTTTTACCTAAAAGTAGACTGAAGAATGGCATTAACATTAAGTCGGCCTTATGTATCATTTCTATACTGGTCAATAAAGTTTTAATAAAGCGACAGCTAAGAGCAAACAGAATAAACTACTTGACATGATTGACGGAAAGGGAAATCAAAAGAAATTTGTACGGTACAATGAACCGCACAATTGCAGCGTTGCATTTTTATGCTACTGTGCCAAATCATGGCACGTCAGTCTTCATTCAACCACGACTCATAATCATCGTACATTAATTACCAATTTACATATAAGTATTTTGTGTGCCAATAACTGTATCTTTGTAAATTATTATCTATTTTCTTTGGTGTACTATCATCTCGTACAAAATTAAAACTATTTACACACCTCGATTTGATGGTCAGTACGTAACAATATCCTCAATGACAATGAGTACATATATCATTTCCAGCCCCATTTACTCCAAACTTATGTGACGGAGGCGTTGTCATCGATACACAAGTGCGTGCTGATATCGGGGCGCCGAGAGGGGGCACTTTTGGCAGAGGGCAGTGAACCGGCTAATGCTGCCCAGCGGCACATACAACAAATACTTTTGGCTTTCGTCGCTGCATTACGGCAACTTGCTTTGCATCACGACGGTGATCAGGTGAGTACTACTCGTATGAATTGGGTTGATGATTTGGTAAAAAAAAAACTAAATTCTATTTAGTCCATCAGTCAGATTATGGATACGTTTTTACTTATTACTTAGTATTTTTACTTCAATTTATCAAGAAAAGGCTTAGATAACAGGTATTAAAGTCGAGGAGTGGGGGCTCGTTACGTCACAGATTTGTAGAAAATGCACCTAAGCGTAACGCCATGTGACATTTTAACTATTGCCGTAATATGTATTGCCGTAATTTAATAATTACGCAAAAAATACGTGTTTAATATTTTCAACAATCTACTTGACTATGTGCGTCAAAAAAAAATTGTCGTTATCCCTATTAACATGACACCTGAAGGCATATTCTATTTCTTAGAAAACGAAATTTTGTCTACTATCGAAATGCTAATACGACTACAAATAAATTTATTTTTCGATAATTTATGATGCAATACAGGTAAGACTTGACACTGCCTCTGATGCGCAGATTATTTTCACGGGTATGATTTTAAAGAAATTATAAGTAAAGAACATAAAGAACAGGTCTTCATGTGTCATGTTTATTCGTACGTGTTATAGATTTTGTGAAGGTGTGTGTTAATCATAGTTCGTTTTTGTTTATACCTAGATTATTACTGTCATTTTGATTACTCAAATGAAAACAAAATATATTATTAAGTTCAGATCAAGGATTTATGAAAGTCGAAAATCTATACCTTCAGTTCGTAAATATACGCGGAAGACTTTTTACCGAGAAGAATCGGCAAGAAACTCAGCAAGGGCTGCTTTTTCCTCCTTGTTATTATAATAATAAGGAGAACAAGCAAGCCAACATAACTCTGTTGTTGTTGTCGTCATGTAAGCAAGAAACAACAGTTTATTATGTCATACAGAGATGTCGAATTAAAAAATTACATCACTAGACTAAGAAATCCATTCCGATCGCAATATTAAAAACTGCTTACTGCTATTTTGTTTCCGTTTAATATAACTTTGCGTAGGTGATTTTTTTTTTTGCAAACAAACAAACGAATAATCAACAAATCTTTTCTCTTTATAATATTATTATACCCTGCCCGTTCAACTTTAATTTCAGTGATTTACCGTGTTACATTATAGGACTTCAACAACACCAGCCTTTCAGTGGCGTTAGACCAGCGGCTGGAGGAGAGTCAGGATGCATCACGTGATACTAGCAGTTGGCAACAGCGGCTACTGGTGGCCGGAGCTAATGCCCAGTACACGAGACGCGTTATTCTACCGGCCATCGCTGCCGCAGCTAATCAGTATGTACATAATCTGCCCTTTTACGTCCCCACTGAAGAGCCATGACCCTACACGCTAACCCAATGCGGATTAACTGCAAATGCAGCCGGGGGAGGGCGAATGCAGATCAACGGCTTAATGTGCCTTCCGAACATGAAGTAGCTCGATTTTGTAATTTTTCGGTCACCCATCCCGTGACCGACCATTACGAAAGTTGCTTAACAATAAGTGGCGCTTATAACAAAAACGCCAAGGGAGAATCCAATTCAAGTCATGGCCCAGACCCGTAATGTGCGGTCGACCATTAATATTTTTTTGTAATGCCAATGAATAAAAACGAGATGTATCATCCTGACTGGATCTCGACTTTTCCTGAAGATCTCCGTAGTCGTGTAGCTATCACGACTGTTTCAAGGTGTAAGCCATCTTTGAGGTCCCGTGTTCGATTCTTGGTCGGTCAATGTAAACCTTTAAATATGGTCTCGATATTAAACAGTGGCCACTTAAGCTAAATCACCTTGTATATTTTCGGGTAACCAAATCATCCAAAAACCAAAGACTTAAATTAGCCTGGAGTCTACTATAGCTGAAATATGTTTGTTTGTAATCTTCGAAAATACTGATCCGATCATGAAAATTCTTTTACCTACTAAAACTTACCTATATTATACGTGGGTGACATCGGTTGTAATTTACGTAGGCGAAGTGGTGAAAAAAATAGCTTTTATTCAATATTACAACCACTCAATAAGTTGATTATGAAATTAACATAAGAGTAAAATAATCTCTATTTTAAACTGAGACACAAATAAATTCAATAAATGACGATATTTAAACAAGTGGCCACTCAAGCTTCAAGTCACCTTTAACTTGTAAAAAAAATAATTGAATACATACAGATATGGATTCCCGAACCCGACGCAAGCCTTGCAAGCAACCAAAGACTCTCTGATTAGCTTAGAGTCCACTATAGCTGAAACATATCTGGAACATAAGGGTGACCCACTAGTGGGCACCATAGAGCCCAGCATGTATATGGGACGCCATCGGACTGATGCCGACGCCGCCGTCGACGACGCGAGGCCTTACGTTTACGAGATCATCAATAACTTGATAGCGGTTCATGCAGAGGTAAGTCACGTGGTTATGTGCATTGAATAGAATGGAAGATGTTAATATGGAATGGAAAATATTTTATTGACATTCACATACAAAAGTACTACGTAGAAAATAGTTCAGCACAGCAACGATGTTAGTATTCTGACAAGGCTTGTCGTTTTCAAGTGTGTTGTTTGCTCATAAGTTCAAAAACTTAAAAGTGTAATATTTATAAAAATAATTAGACACAGGTACTGCTGTAAAATACCGCTTACGTAAATAGTATGTAAATATAATTTACAATAGCATTATAACGCAAATAAATATTGTGTTACAAAAAAAAAATAATGATAAATGGAAATTGAAATTTTTTGGATTGTGGATTTTTTTTTAATTTTAATGGAATTATTAATTTTGTGTTTTTGGTAAATCCAAGTGTGATTACAAAAATCCTGAACATACATAATTAATTAATTGCGTTTATATATTATTATGTCATACAAAAAGTAGTTACAAAGTATCTTCATATAAAATTAGATCCTCATGTGAAAATCAACCTGAAGTACATTTCGAAGAAGTTATGCAGTAGGTCGCGCAGTTCTTTATGACCATATGATGGCTTAATATTTTCTTGTATGTCCAGAAAAAAAAAATAACACCAACAACTGTTCCTAGATGGCGTTGTACCATTCTACATCGCGCAAGTACAATTTTTTTCCAGTGTCTATATAAAGTATTCTCATAACCCAAACCGTTAACTTTGCGCAGAGGCAATATCGTAACCAATGAGGTTAATCCGAGGTGCGATTATTGCTAGTTGAAAACTTTACCAATACCCCGCCGTGTGGACGTGAAATACCGTCCGCTATGGCAATTTTTGAACGGCCGTGAAGGCCTCATATACGTTAAAAATGCATGATCACATTCACGAACACGAAAGTAATAGTAGAAGATCCGAACCTAAATCGACCTTTACCGGGTTGATAATGGAATAAAACTTATTGTATAATTAATTTAGTATATTAGAAAATATATTAAAAATGGGTTCGCTAAAAAATTAAAAAAAAAAAAAAAAAATTTATTAAATGTTGCAACATCAAGATAATAAGAAAATTTTAATTCTGACTTAAAGTATAAAACATATAGAATGTGCAGACGTTGGGTTGTCTATTATTTACCTGGACGAACTACTGGGTTGTCAGGTATAAACAGGTATATCGATGCCAGTTAATTTCACTTGATTTGATAATAAAAAAAAATTATATCAACATAAGCGCTGTTTCATTACGAACACATTGATATAGGGTTGTCTGCAAAAAATTCGGTCCTAATACGGGTTTGCGAATTTTAAAAAATAAAATTTTAACGCCTGGGAAAGTGAGTGACAGAGAGATCCGAGGAAAGTATACCGTGTAATAGTAAATATTATTATTAATATATTACTATTAATATATTATATAATATACATTATCTATATTACTATTAATCGAGTCAGCTCTCAGTAAAGAACGATTAGACCGTAGAAGAAATCGGCGGCGGCTTCGAAAACGTTTGTAAGTAATTACAGACTCGGTTGTGAATTATTTCAAGAACTATGCCAGGAGATTATACATTTACTGCGTCCACAGGCAAGATCTCATGCCATCGAGTCTACAATTAAAGTTGGAAGATATTTTATCGTAGTTCTTGATAAAAAAAAAAATTGCATGCCTACCATTATGCATTTCATATTTTTATGATTCTTACAGCGTTGAATTTTTATGCCCAAAGTAGTTACCAATGATTCGTATCTCAAAACATGGATGGGCTTACGGCCATCTACTACGGTTTCACGATGTTAGGAGGTTAGGACTGTCCTCAATTCACCAAATAGGTATTATAAGAAAATATATTATTCCCTCAAAACCAAAATGAAAGGAATCTTATTAAGAGACAGTGAGTACCTAACTAATAGTTTATTGTTAATTTTGGCTTTATGTATGAATTGTGAATAAATATCTATAGAATTATGTCATTAATATTACAGATTTTACGAGGCATATCTGTCACTCACTTTTCCACGCGTTATAATTTTAATTTTTAAAATTCGCAAACTCTTATTAGGACCGAATTTTTTGCAGAAAACCCTATATCAATGTGTTCGTAATGAAACAGCGCTTATGTTGATATACATTTTTTTTTATTATCAAATCAAGTGAAATTAACTGGCATCGATATACCTGTTTATACCTGACAACCCAGTAGTTCATCCAGGTAAATAATAGACAACCCAACGTCTGCACATTCTATATGTTTTATATTTTAAGTCAGAATTAAAATTTTCTTGTTATCTTGATGTTGCAACATTTAATAAAAAATTGTTTTTTAAAAAATAATTAAAAATATTCTGTCCAGGATTTTTTTAGCGAACCCATTTTTAATATATTTTCTAATATACTAAATTAATTATATAATAAGTTTTATTCCATTATCAACCCGGTGAAGGTCGATTTAGGTTCGGATCTTAGACTATTATATCTGCCTTGAGATTCTGTAAAATAGAAATGGGTTGTTGGTAAACATATTTCGAGGCGAAATTTACAACCATTGGAAAGAGAATTAGGTTTTCTTTTATTTGGATTATCATTAATTGTATGAGTAATTTCAAAAACGCTTACTGCTGGCTCTCCCTGTTAAATACACAGTGAAGTGAACTAAGAAAAGTGAGAGTCATTATTTTCTTGATTTCATCTAAAATTGGCATTGACATTTCTTTTTGCCCATAAACCATCTGAACATTTCTTTTATTTGACCTTTTATTCAGAACGTATAATGCAGCATAAACCATTTCACTGAGATATATTATCCCATTTTTTTTGCCTAAAAATACAAAATAAGATTAATTCATTAGTACATTCCATGCTTATTTCATTTCGAAACGACCTTATCTTCACTTGTATCACGAAACGTATAGAGAATGTCATTTCGAAGTTAAGCGGATTCGCTTTCGAAGTGAGCTCTGTCACCTGAGTGAATTCAAATCCGAGTTCGGATTTTTACGGAATCGTTCTGTTGAACTGATAAATACCTGTAAAAATTGACACTCGTATATCCGAATTCACGACATTTAGTGAAGAAATTATATCGATTTCATTTTTTGTATAAAAACAAAATTGATTGACTATATGTCTCCGATATTCCATTCCTATGTCATTTCGAAAATCACTCCACTTATGCCACGAAACGCTATAACTGGCGCTTTTTGAAGTGAATTCGGATTCCGTCACCTGTATGAATTCCGATTCGGGTTTGGACTTTTACAGTATCGCAGGGTTGTATACCGGAACATACGCATACTTCTGTCAAGATTTGCTCCATCCTTATTATTTTTATATCCTACTAGCGGACCCGACAGACTTCGTCCTGTCAAAAAGATTTGTAATGTGGCAGTTTTTTGTTCCTACTTATTTTATAGTCGGGGCAAAAAATAGGAGGCATATCAAATATAAATTATTGTGTCACATGCAATATTATTATTATAATAAATAGTGATCATAGGTAACTAAACACTCTGCACAAAACACGATATACGAATTTGTTTCGTCTATTAGACAGTATCAGTTGACAAAAGCAAACTCAGTAGAATAAGTAACAGAAAATCCAAGAAAATAATACTTCCACACCGGCAAATTGACATCGACAGTTTATTTTTCTTAGTTTTTTTTTAAACTAACTAAACATCGACAGTTTGTTGTTGTTTCAATTTTCAACTTTTTTTAAATTTGATATGACTTGGAATCAAATCCTTCAGGCCGTACCAATTTTTTATGTGTGTAAAATAATAAATAATAAAACACTTTTGGTAACGCGGTTTGTGTTTGACTGATGTCATGACGTGAAAACTGATGCATTTTATGTCGCGTGCTGAAAGTAAAACAAAAGAAATAATATCGCAAAGCCGACCAAATTGAAAATCAGTACTAATGATTTACTTTAATTGAGTTTCGGAACGCGGCATTAAATCCTCCAACGATGTATTCTGTGCTCCAACGCACACACGCACACTGTATTGATATGATTGAATTTCAACTTTGTATAGCGGAAATAAAGTGCAAATTGACTCTTTGACGTTAGGAACACACCTACATTGCTTAGATAACAGTGAGTGCTTGTAATTTAATATGAACTTTATACAATAGTAATAGAGCTCAAATTGACTCAACGATTCAGTTAGAAAACGTTTGTATGAGAAAAAGAAAATGGCTGTTTTTACGGTTTTTTCGGCATATATTCAAATTTTTCTCGCCGTAAAAACCATCCTTGAACTTCAACGAACATTTAAAAAAAAGAATTGGCCAAATTGGTCCAGGCGTTGTTGAGTTATGCGCTTACCAACACATTTTGCGATTCATTTTTATATTATAGATTAATATTATAAATGTGAAAGTTTCTTTGTTTGGATGTTTGTCGGTGAATCACGCCAAAACTACTGAACGGATTTTGATGAAATTTGGTATACAAATAGGGTGTTAGCTGACTTATGGTCAGTTGCACAAACAACCATTAAGGTTTAATGACCCCTTGAAGCTCTAATTAATGTTAAATTTGTATGGGTAATGTCGCTTTAAACTAATGACAATTTTAATGTTCGTTTGTGCAACTGGCTGTTAGATAATAGGATACTTTTTATCCCACTAAACATTTCCCTACGGTCCACGCGGGCGAAGCCGCTGGCGAAAGCTAGTATGTTTATATATATACGTGCGTGACGCAACTGTGTCAGGTGGACAGCGTGTGCGGCGCGGCGTCGTCCCGTTACGTGCGCGACATATGCGAGACCGTGTGCGAGGAGCTGGCGCGGCTGGCCGCGTGCGCGCCGCCCGTGTGCACGCGCGCCGCCGCCGTACAGGCGCGCCTCGAGTACACGCTGCTGCGCCGCGCCGCCGCTGACCATCTCACCAGGAAAGCGGAGTGAGTGCACACCCAACGATATATTCACACCCTAAACCGCAGGAACGTGACCGGAATTTGTATGGAACTGTGCCCAAATAATATTTTTACAATGCAGTTGCTCATAAAGCGCTATTTTTTTTAATCCATTGTAAACAACGAAAGTGAGTCTTTCAACACGTGTTAAATAAAAATGTACTGAAATCCCATACTGCACACGTGCTTAAAAGTATTTTTTTTTCAAATAAACAAAGAACGAATATTTTTTCAAAGAACGAATATTTTCAAATAAAAATGTATGACATGAAAACATGTTCAAATATCACGTTTAATTTTAACAAATAATTTTTAACTTTAATACATACTTAGTTTTATTAACCTATATAATTGTTTTATTTCCTCGCAAAAAGCATTGAAAAATGTTGTAAGAAACTTGAGCGTAAATGGTTTTTCGAATTCGTGCCGATGATTGTTGGCCCTTATTCGTAAAACCTTACTTTCCGCACTCGTATCTTAAATAACTTTTATGATACAGTTGGCGGTACTATAAAACAGTTTTCAATGCTTTTTGCGAGGAAATAAAAGAAAGTTTAATATAACGAAGTATGTATTAAAGGTAAAAATTATTTGTTAAAATTAAAAGTGATATTTGAACATGTTTTCGTGTCATACTCAAAAAACCTTTTACGCTCAAGTTTCTTACAACATTTTTCAATGCTTTTTGCGAGGAAATAAAACAATTATATTAAACGTGATATTTGAACATGTTTTCGTGTCATACATTTTTTTTTTGATAATATTCGTTCTAGGCTCCTTGAAATACTTTTGCCTCTAAAGTTTGACATATTTTCATCATTTTTTTTTTATTCCTTTGGTGCTCGGCCAAAAAAAAAAAAAAAAAACTTTTAAGCACGTCTGCCGTAAAGGAATTCAGTACATTTTTATTTAACACGTGTTTAACTCACTTTCGGTGTTTATAATGGATTAAAAAAAAAAAAAAAATAGCGCTTTATGAGCAACTGCATTAAAAAACTCATTATAGTACCGTTTTCTTTTTTTATTCATTAAACTAGTCTATGGTTATAGGCTGGATATGAAAAAAAAGGCGCACTCACGCGCAGTTCGAACTGTGAAATAAATGGCGCACGCATAAATTACTACTTTGTAACCTACCTACTTTGTTTAATTTCAATTTTTCGTATGAGTGAAGATAAAGTAGTGTATGAAACTGCATATTCCTTAACTGCATATTTGCATAAACTACTATTATTCATGTAATTGGAAAAGAATGATACGTATACTTAAGGCAGCTGGATTAGACTACAGTAATAAGAGAGTAATATATAACTTGTACAGAGAGTAGGAAACTGTAATAGAGATTGGAGAGGAAAGAGGGCCGGCAAGGATAAGGCAAGAAGTCAGACAGGGCTGTCCACGTTTTTGCGTGCCCATGCTACGTGAGAAAGACTATAGTACTCTCCTATCGGCTTTTCATTACTGAAGATCGTGGTCGTCGGATTTATAGGACAGAATAGGGTGCCTCCAATTGCGACAAAATATAGCTGCCGTTACTGTAATTTGGTGGAGGATGTGACATCTTTCACTTGGTCGGACCGATTGCCAGCGATGATCAATTTTTGTAGATTGTCATGTATTCAAAGTTGCATTTTATCTAAACACTCAACCACTAATAAATTGATTTGACTCTATCGATCGACTATCGACTCGACAACGACTTTATTCGATTCCAATCAATTAGAGACGACACTAATATTGTTGTATATTTATTTTTATAGAAACTACTTAACGGAAGCATTGGCGACGATACCTCCTTTAGAAAACGAAGAAGATAAAAAGTAAGTGTGATATTGATTTTATATCTGTTAACGTAAACTTGTGAAACCACTAGATTAAATTATGATCTAACTCGCGAGATTTAAAATTGTTGAAAAATTATGATCTGTAATATATTGCTTACAATTGGACATTACATTTTGTTTAAAATTATTAATCTAAGTCAACCGTCTTACAATATCACGAGTTAATATGTCAATTGTCCGAATACTGTCTCTGATTGGTTGTTCTTGTGATCGTGTATGTATTGTATTTATTGTATATATTATAGAAGTATTTCTATAAATAATTTGGATATTTCTAAGTGCTGTCTAGTATCACGAAATGAACCTATATAAAATGATTGTTACTTACTTTGCTTTTGTAATCGTCGTTACTTAATTAGTAATTTCATAATTAAGTAACGACGATTAATTAGTAATTATTTCATATTTTGTGTCGTAGTGGATAAGCGCCGCGGCCCGCGATCGTTGTTGTTAAGTAACTTTCGCAAGGGTCGGTCATGGGATGGGTGACCGAAAAGTTTTATCTCGAGCTACTCCGTGCTTCCGAAGCACGTTAAGCCGTTGGTTCCGTTGCCAGTAAATACCCTTCAATCCGCATTGGACCAGCGTGGAGGGTCATGGCCCATCCTCCTTAACCATCCACGAGGAAGGCCTGAGCCTCTGCAGTGGGTTGTAAAAGGGCTTGATGAAGTGGTACTTGAGCATATTAACAAATACGTATATCTGCCGATAAAAGTTTTGTTACTCCACTACTGCGGTACTGTAGGCGTCATCTATGATTTGTTTGTACATTAGAAATTATGTCGTTCATATTTATTTAATTATCTACTTTGCACTTATGGGGGTGATCAATGTATAATTTTCTTTTTCTCTTGCTCAGGCGAATGGAAGAGTTGATAGCAGGATTTGAAAAGAAAATGGAACTGCAGTTAGCAAGCCTTAATTGCAACATGGAAACAGTGTAACCGAATTATGTATGTAACACACAATTATATTGTAATATGAGTAGATACAATTCAGGCATGTTATGAAAGAACTTTCTATATATATTGTTCATTATAAGGTGCTTTTAGACATGAAATGAAATATTATAATTTATAAGTATGTAATGTATTTATTAAAAATTATCGTAAAATAAGTATTGTATAGTTAAAAAATATTATTATAATATCAAAGTAATAAATATTAAACTTCTATTTCGATTTTATTTGTTTGATTGCGTGTTCTTGTAATTCTGAAACAAGAGATGGAATGATGATAAAGTATTTTGTATCAATCTACGTTGACATATGGGGATACCTTCTTTTTACATAATGTTCCCATTCTATTATATTATATATTTTGACATTCTATTATATTATATATATATTTTGACATAATCATTTTGGTTTATAACTGTTTTGTCATACTTGTATACGTTGACATGCGAGCGCCAAACGCAATTTTTTAAATTCAGGCACTTGGATGTTATGTTATATTATGCCTAGTGTAAGATGATTATGCGTAAATATAATTAGGACAAACAAACATATACCATGTCATACATTTTATACAAGTTGTTAGGGAACCTAACACATGAAGTATTTAAAGATAACAATATCAAAGGTTGATATAGTTTATTTTATGTATTAACTTGTAGTTAAAATCCTTATTAAGATGCACAATTTACCGTAGTTAGTGGAAAATATTATATATTCTATTTAGTTTCTTGAAAGGTTTATACACTAGTATCATTATGAACTAATATAAGTTAGCTAGAACCGCTTTTATGACACAAAATCTAAGAAGACGCTCTTAGATTTCCTTTAAAATGTTCAATTTGAAAACTCATAGATATATAATTTTTTAAATATTTGACAACATCGCATATATTGCTCCAGGATGAGTCGCTTAAGTTGTTATTTAAGCATTCATATTGAGTATCTGAATGGAACGTACGGAGTATCTGAAAAACAAAGGTACCGCAGCACCCAAACCTGAGACAAAATAAAAACAAAACATTATCAATGGGCTCTACCATGGGAATGGAACCCAGGATCTCAGATACGCGACTGCGAAGGTCGGTAATTGAATATTCATTAAATTTTTAATCCCAAGTTCATTAGGAGTATCAAGGTTACCGTTTTAGCCTGTTCACGCAGTAACTGCGCCATGGCGGACCCAGTTTCTGATACCATTTTATAGAAATATCCGTTCTTGTTTTGGAGTAAAATGTGCGGATGGTCGAACTCCATTAGGCGTCCAGCGTCCAACACGAGAATCTAAAAAGATTTTTAACAGTAATCAGTGGATTTTTTTTTAATTTTGCAGTTGATCAAGTGCATATTTACTCTATAGAATACTATCTTTCCAGCAGCAAGATTTATATGTATGATATAGGTATCATACATATAAATCTTCCTTTTGAATCACCCTTTATATTGATGAGAATCACTTTAAAATCCGTTGTTTAGTTTAATAGTCTCACAATCAGTGAACAGACAGCGGAAAACAACTTTGTTTTAATACCTAAGTTTCTATTTAATACCGCACCGTTGTCACATAGTAGAGGCTATGCCTAGGACCCGGTAGGCTCTTTGCTAGATCCCGGGGCATCGTGTTTGTTATTCTAGGGTCCGTAGATGAGAAATGGTTAAGAAGCTTTCTTTCAATTCCCTAGGATTTTAATAACCAACTAATATGGCGTATTCTAAATTGACGTATGCACAGACGATCGAACGTTTTTAATTAAAAAAAGTAAGTTTTTGTCTTAGCTACAATCAAAGGGCAGTTAGGTGCGCGGATTACGCAATGGCAATGGCGTATAATCATTGTAATTGGCCGACGTTTTTTAGCTTACTTTAGCCAGCTGAGTATATCGGGGACGATTTACATGCAGCCGGTATAAGTTGTTTTTTTACTGTATAACATGACACCTGGGGTCTATTCTATTTCTTCTCGAACTAAAATTGTACAAATTACTAACCGTTCTTATAAATTTGTTAAAGTAAGCGTAAAGATTTTATTTGTGCATCATAAATTATCGATTTGTGTATCAAAAAAAATAAATTTCTTTGGAGTCGTATAACCATGTTGAAAATAGACGAAATTTATATTTTCGAAGAACTCGGTGCGTAGTGGATAAGCGCCGCGGCCCGCCATCGTAGTCGTTAAGCAACTTTCGCAAGGATCGGTCACGGGATGGGTGACCTAAAAAATTATTATCTCGAGCTACTCCGTGCTTCGAAAGGCACGTTAAGCCGTTGGTCCCAGCTGCATTGGCAGTCGTTAATACCCTCCAATCCGCATTGGACCAGCGTGGAGGGTCATGGCCCATCCTCCTTAACCATCCATAAGGAAGGCCTGAGCCCCTGCAGTGGGGACGTAAAAGGGCTGGTGGTGGTGGTGGTAGAATAGACCTTCAGGTGTCATGTTAATTGGTACGAGTATTATATACAGCGCCGGCTCAGTGAAACTTGGTGCCCTAGGCAAAAAACTGGGACGGCGCCCATCAAAACAAAATAGAAGACTAACGGTCAGTTGCACAAACGTCCATTAAGGTTTAATGACTTCATTAAGCTCTAAAGGATGTCAAATTTGTATGGGTAATGTCGCATTAGACTAATGACAATTTTAATGGTCGTTTCTACAACTGACTAATGCAGGTACACCGTTTAAAGAGTAATTTTTCCAATGACAAAAGAAACTCCTTAGGTATTGCTGGTCTAAAAATATTGTACTTTTGAATACCGCTGACATGAGTCCATGTTTAAAGAACAAAAGTATTATTTTTTTAAGGTTCTCAAAAAGAGAGCAAACAAACACGAGCGCCTTAGGCAGTTGCCTAGTTTGCCTACAGGGCCGTCCATTAGCCACGTGATGTTTTTTCAGTATTTTTGAACCTCCCCTCCCCTTTTGTTTGCTCTCCACCAAAATCACGTGTATTTTAAACACGTGTCAACACGAATCTTAATTTTTGACGCCGCTCTTGTGTTTAGTGATCGCGTGTTTTAGGAAAAAATAAGTACACGTGATATATTACTATACCCCCCTCCTCCCTTGTGATATTTCGTCATTTTTGACGAACATACCCTTCCCCCCTTTCTAGTCTCACGCGGATAATGGACGGCTCCTATATAAAATAAAAATAAAAATTGAATTTATTTTCGTCACAAATACAGAAACATGGTTACATGTTATCGACTAAACACAATTACAAAAAAGGAGATCGCCTGTCGACTTTGTGAGGAACTGGTGTCTGAAAGGGGCGATAGCCTGAAGTACAGATCACCAGGTCCCACCCCACGGGGAATATGACTATTTTCGCATTAAATGACTAAGTAACTATTGTGCTAATTTACTACAAGGAAAATATTGGAAAAAATATATATGTGGATGGGCCGAAAAAAAAATGTGGACGGGCCGAAAAAAAAATGTGGACGGGCCGAAAAAAAAATGTGGAAGGGCCGAAAAAAAAAATTCTGAATGGGCCGGCTATATCGGTAGTCACCTTATCAGAGTCGATGACGGTGTTGAGTCTATGCGCGATCGTTAGCACGGTACATGCGTTGAAGTGTTCCCTTATGGCGGTTTGTATGAGCGCGTCCGTCTCCGCGTCCACGTTGGCGGTCGCCTCGTCCAGCACCAGTACACGGTTGTTGTGAACTATAGCGCGTGCGAGACACACCAGCTGTCGTTCACCGACGCTGAAGTTGGAGCCACCCTCTGACACCACCTTGTATAGGGGACCTGGGTTATGACAATACGGGTGTAGTAAGGGAAAATAAATTCATTATTTTTCGGGTAGTATTTAATGTATTAATACCGATGATCATCCTTATGTTAATTATAATATTATTTAAATGTATTGTGAATAAACACTTATTTTATACTCTTTGTCACGTGACTGCAAACAGCGCGTGTCGTCACAGTCTTCCCTCTAGGGAAGATGTCGATTTGACATTGACATACAGAGAACGATTTTGTTGTTGTATTATTTATGTTAGTTTTAGAAGGCTGTGACGTCATTTCGACGCCATGACAAGGTTAGCGTTTTAGCGGGAAATTTTTAGCATTTTGAAAATAAAAATATAAAAAAATCGTCTGTACCCGTATTTTTTAATATTCAAATTAAAAAAATGCGGCTGATCCGAAACTCTCGAAGCGCAGTGCTGTTTACCAAAGCTGATGTGACGAGATGTCATTGTAACAAAGTACCAATGATACCAAAGATGACAGTACTGAAATTGATAATTCAATTAGAAATGTTATTTATTTCCCAACAATTTATTTCTTGATCACAAAACGATTTTCGACTAGTTATTAAAAAGAAATAGGATTAGTACATACAACTTTCTCGTGTGTTCTAAATAAATTAGAATAATATTTTGTAGTGTACCTACTATTATAGTACCGTGGTGCAAATTTGAAACGCAGGATATTGAATATCATTTACCAGCCTCATCTTCATCCGACTGTAGTTCAACATTCTCTAAAGCTCTTAGCAAAACCTCATCAGGATACTCGTCAAATGGATCCAAGTTCTTTCTCATTGTACCGCTGAACAAAACAGGTTCCTAAAACTCAGCATAATCGTGTTATTTAATTAATATAAATATTATTAGACTTGTATTTTTCATTATCGAATTACCTGCGGTATAATAGATAACTTTTCCCTTAAATCGTGCAGACCTATAGTCATAATATTGATGCCGTCAATATATATATTTCCCTCCAAGTAAGCCAGTCTAAATAAAGCTTGAATAATGGAAGATTTTCCTGCTCCTGTTCTGCCCACAATTCCAATCTATAAAAATCATTGCGACTTTAAAAGCCATGAATCAGATTGACCTTTTACAATAAATAGAATTACAGTTTGAAGATTATTTATTAACTAATTTATTATTAGCTTTCCATATTATATTGTGGGATTGGAGTGGAAACACTTCTTGTTGCTCCCATGTGGCCTCTGCGATTTAGGTATTAAGTTTGGCCGTCACTAGTATTCTATATTTTTGTCCTCGTCTAATGAATATTTTAAATGTGCATTTCTCAACTTTATTGCTACAGTATTTAAAGGCATATTGATGTACCTTTTCTTGAGGCATTATATTTATTTGTAATTTGTGTAATACATAATTCCCTTCCGGAGCGTATTTTAAACTGAGATTGTCGAAATTTATAGCTCCTTCCGTGGGCCAATCAGACGGTGGTTTCTTCTGTGGGTCCTAAAGTAATTTAACTTTTTTAAATGTTGTAATGTCCTTTGTATATCTTATTGTCAGTTGGACGGAACTTACGCTCCTTAGTGCTGGTTCCTGAGGCAACTTCGCGTATTCCACTACTCTTTCCACGCTAGTCATTTGATTTTCCATTTCGGCTGATTGGCGCATACCCCATTGAAAAACACCCGTCAATGATATAGACTGCGTGATAGCTAGTCCAACTTGACTCGCCTCCATGTCTTGAATATTGATTTAATTCTTATTTCGAGAATAATAACGTTGTTTGCTTAAGCATAGGGGATTTGTTATATTGATTTTTGAGATGACAATCCTCCCGATTGTGATAGGAACTCGGAATGCTGTGAATCCATGATATGGATATGTTGCGGATGCAGATATGGAGTTATATGGCCTCATTATTCGCAGATGCGAGTGCTAATGGGAACTTTATATACTTATCTAGGTGCAAGATTGACGAAATAATATTTTTTGGAATTCAATGGGATTTGTATGTAACGCATCCAAGGGCAGGTCCAGCTTTAACGCCAGGGGGATCACAGAGTCGTGGTCAAGTCATAAGAAGTTAATTTTGATAATAATAGATACACGTAGGTACTATATTGAATTAATTAAATTTCGAAAGAACTTTAATAAAATCTATATTGGGACAAAAGTATATAAAAAACATTATGTATAACAATTTTAATCACCTAGGTGTCATGGGGTCATGACCCCGTGACCACCCTCCTGGCGTGATCCGCTTTTCTACGTATCCCTCTCTGCGTCCATTTCCATATCAACATCCGCAATATTCCTAATAGGAAACTATCTAAACGCGTCTTATTAAAATCGTATAATAATTATAAAATAAAAAATGATAAATATACATTTGTACAAGTTAAATCGGAAAAATCGACTTTGTTGTGATGTTAGTTTTTTGAACAAACTAGCTTTTTTCCCGCGACTACGCCCACGTAAATTAAAGCATATAACTTGCCATAGTTGAAAGAATTTTTACGAGTATGAACGAATCATTATTTTCGAAGATTACCTCCAACCAATTAAATAAACATATTTAAACTTCATCTCCTTATAACATTAGTATAGATAAATATCAGAAGACTTAATAGCTACCGGTTTTCATGAGGCAGCTGAATGTGACACCGATGATAAAAAATAGGCATATGACATCGAGGAAATAACCAAATGCCCGGCTGCAGGTGATGAATAGATACCAGGCAGCGCTGTGAAGGTCCTGATGCCGGTCGAACTCCTCAACTAGGAGGAGTTCCGCACCAAAGGATCGTATAGTGACCAGACCGAGCACTGATGCGTTCAGATGACCGAAAACTGGGCTTCGAGCTGCAATAAAAGATTTTGTTGTATCAGCATAAAGATCGTGTGAGCCGGGTATTAATTCTACTTTTATTCAAGCAATTAGCCGTTGTTTCATAATCTACTATATCCAGACCCCGGGCTGAGATGACTGGGGCCCTGGGCAAATGGTCTACTGGCGCCCCCTTTATGTTACTTTTATTTATGAAGGAAATAACAAGAAAACACGTCTTTCATACACAAACTGTAGACATTTAATACCTAGATTTATTACTGGTTGCTTTATCTTCCTCTAAATGTGTATAACAATATAACACTATTAGCCACGAAAAAATTTACAAAGTGTACACATTAAAATTATATCATGCATTTTTAGTAATTTTATTCGGTATGATCCGATATTAGTTTAAAGAATTTATTTTATGTATCTTACTAATCCCTTCCAGTCTCTTTACAGCGCCTGTAGTTCGAATATAAATAACCCTCAAAATATAAAATATTATGAGTGCTGCAGCGATCGGTATGAGGAGTGCTACGTCAGTTAATAAAATGACCACTAGTACTCCTATTAAGTTCAATATTATCTGGAAAATTAAATAAATCTCATTATTAACATTATTTAATATTCAGATGAGAGAGGTTATATATAAAGTAAGGAGATATGCAGTCGTAGTACCCGTTTTAAAATCTAATATCAATCGTGTTTTAGTTTTAGTCTTTATTTCTGTTTAATTCTCAACAATAAAACAAATAACTAGATACGAGTGTCACTACTATGATAGTTTTTTGTGCGACAGCCAAAACTTAGCGCCACCGCCGGGCGTAGGTTTGTAAAATTAAGTACATACATTACCTTGTGGTATATTTTGTGATTGGGGGGAATAAATTTACATGGAATTTTCTAATTTCTGAACTTGTATGAAAACTGCTGACGGCTATTTTTAAATAAAAATCGCCAACAAAAACAAATTTATCAATTCAATAAATAAGAAACGGAACGTTGCATTGTCGCCTAGTAACTTTCCTGAAGATGATGAACATTTATTTAGTTGGAACAAGCCTAAGATTCTGCAAGGCTATGTTAATGGTAGTTATTTTTTCTACCATTAATAGATAAAAACATGATGCAGATACCTGAAAGCAATCTATCATTGCTTGAGGCAGTAGTTCGTCGACAGCTCCCATGTCTTTGCTGAATCTGTTTAATATTCTACCAGACGGATTTGTGTGGAAGAAACTCATCGGTGACCCTGACACGTATTCGAACATTTTATCATGCAACCTGATAATGTTAGTAATTGGTCAACTTTTGTTTGAAGACTATCAAGGTTAAGGAATAATGTTCTAAAATTATGAATAGTCACGTACCAAAACGTGATTAAGTTTGATTTCACATGGCGACGCGTGCCACTGTTATTGGTATCATATCAATTTGACATGAATATTAGAAAAGTATGTTACGTGGAATTACAAATTTATATTTGAGATACCTGTCTATTACTTTACGTAATGTTTTAGAAGAAAGACATTGAAAGTTTATAGCTACATTATAAAGCAGTCTGCCTAAATGCTATTAAGAATAGAATAATATACCCAATTGGATTGTCGCCAATTTGCGAAACAATTAATGAGGAAATTATGTGTATAATATATTAAGGCTTTGGGCGATTTGGATGTCATAGGTGCAAAAAGCTATGCTGAATTGAAGTTTGCTAATGTAACTGGAAACCGTGCGAAGCCGCTGTTAGTAGGCTTGTCAAATTTCTTAAGCTAAATATGATGTTATTCAAAATTTAACCTACAAGTTTGGTATAACTGTCGTTTTAGTAAAAATAAATATAAACTCATTAGTATATGTAAGTGATCAGACTTTTATTAGTTTTTGTTCTAGTAGCTACAATACTACATACGTAGGCGGGATGATAAATAGCTAGCCCAGCCCATATTTTGTACAATAACGATATAAAATCTCCTTAGTATTTTACTCATTGGTTCATTAGCTGCCAGTGTTCCAAATTTCAAATCGATCGCATAGTTTTTCTTTTAAATATTGACATTTCAAAAAACATTCTTTTGTTTTTTCTGCAAAATGGATAAAATTGAGCTACGAGCTGTGATAAAGTTTTTGCATTTAAAAGGATTAAAAGGTGGAGAGATTTTTTCGGAGATGAAGGATGTTTTGGGAGAATATGCTCCTTTATATGCGACCATAAAAAATTGAGAGGCTGAATTTAAACGTGGCCGTACCAGCACCCAAGATGAACATCGTCCAGGACGTCCAAAAAGTGCCACTACTCCAGAAATTGTGATCAAAATTCATGATGCAGTTTTAGCTGACCGAAGATTGAAACTTTCCGAGATAGCTGATACTGTAGGCATCTCTAAAGAACGGGCGTATTACATTTTGACTCAAGAATTATGTATGAAAAAATTATCCGCAAGGTAGGGTGCCGCGATTGCTTACAGTTGACCAAAAACGTGTTCGTATGCAAATTTCACAAGAATGTTTGGACCGCTTTAAGAGCTATACAACTGATTTTCTGCGACGGTTTGTTACTACAGACAAGACTTGGGTTCACCACTATATACCTGAATCAAAAATTCAGTCTAAACAATGGACGGAAAAAGGATCCCCGGCTCCAAAGAAAGCAGAAGCCGTGAAACCAGCGGGGAAAGTCATGGCGTCAGTATTTTGGGATTCGAAGAGTATATTGATGATTGATTACCTTCTAAAAGGACAAAACATAAATGGCGAATATTATGCTGATTTACTGGATAAATTACAAGTGTGTATTTGTGAAAAAAGACCCGGCTTGGCAAAAAAAAAATCATCAGGATAATGCGCGCGTTCACACGCCGCCGTGGACAGTTATTTTGAAGGGCTTGAAGAAAACCACTTCAGGGATGGCATCAAGGCTTTAGAGCATAGATGGATGAAGTGCATAGCGCTTCAAGGAGACTATGTCGAAAAATAAATATACTTTTAACACACTAATTTAATCATCCCGCCCTCGTATTAACTACGGTGTACTACCCAAGGCGTGAATCGCTAGTCCAAACAAAAAAGAAAAAAACAAAATAAATTTGTTTTTGATAGCCAAACTTTTAATTTTTATATATACTTTGGTTTATAAAATGAAATAATAAAACATTAAAACTCTCACTTGATTGAAGACTTCATACACAATGAGAAGAACAAGAAGGCTCTAAAAAGAGCCACAACTATTGTAGCAATAGTAAGCAACCCAAAAATCAGAACGAAACTATTTCGATTCAAGCCTTGCTCACGCCATAATATGTTATCCATTGTAGTATCACCTGTGAGACGATCTTCTACTTCACTCCTGAAATTGAAATAACAAATGTTATATAGCAAATTTATCGATCAAATAAAAATCTAAATGGCAGATGAGCAGGATTAAATTCGTAGTAAAACATAGTAACCGAGTACAGATTCATAACGTATACTCCATTTTTTGATTCAAGAACACAAGTAACAACGACTAAATTTTCTAAAACACTGACATCATCATCCTACTGCAGCGGTACAGATCTTGCACCAAGCGATCTTAGTGCTCATTAGCATATTGTAGTGACTGTAAATGCAGTCAGTCTGCATAGCATATATCGAGTTCTGTCGAACTTTAGAAAAGGATGAGACCAAGAGTGAGATATGGGCATATCTCACTTTCGACCTCTTTCTCGAGGGTCTCGAGCTAGTCATGCTACGCGTTCTGTACTAACGGCTTAATGGGTCTACCGATGCACGCAGGAACCAGCCTATGTGAAAGTTACTCAACGTACACAATCACAAACTGAACGCGCTGAGCACGGAGCCAATGAGCTCGATAATATTAATTATGTTTATAACTAATTGCTTACCATCTACTGATCCAATAGTCACAGGCGCTGGCACAGAACTGCGCTAATAAGAACATGATGCAAACCAACATGACGTGTGGACAGGAAACGGCCGCCATGAAATATTCACGGTATACTGAACCGTGAACGCGACCCACTGTCTGTGTCTCGGCCTCTGGCTGCTGATCCTATGATAATAGGCTATTTGACAACTTTTTTTTTATTTCATAAATGAATAGTCCATTAACATCTGATAAATAATGTCAAAGTAACAGCATGTCTGCGATTAATAGTTTCGGAGATACGGTGCTGTGTTTGTAGAACTGCTGCTAGTTGGCCGAAAACGCTCCCTACAAATACAAGGCACTCAGTGACGTCACACGGTGCTGCAGTAGCGAAAAATGTATGGGCGTCTGGACATTTTTTGTAATATCTTTGTTATTTGTGCGTTTATATTTATAGCTATTATAATGAAAGTTGTAATATTTTTTATATTTAATTTAATGCCTTATGTATTTTAGCAATTTTTTGTTGTAGATTTTATCTACTTTTTTCAAGTTTTCAAAGCGTAATATTTTCCAAATCATTGACTTAAAATTTGTTTTGTTAAACATTTATAAGTTAAAATGGTTCATTTTTTTCGAAGATATAACAAAAACCTGTATTTTCACTTCTAGGACACAAGCCTAATAGGCCCACGGTAATAAAAATGGGTAATTGAATCATGCTACTTTCCTTGGAGTACAGGCTAAAATAATTGGGCTGTAATACCCGTATCATATGAAGTATGGCTTTTTACTGTAACAGTTGTAAAAGTGACATACAGTTTTGGCTTCTCAAATTTGTACATAGCTATCGTGCATGTCAGTCGATTTTAGGTTCTCTGCGACTCTGCCACGGATTTTCAGGTCTCACGTCTAAGAAGAGGGTATACCGTAGGTCTTTGGCCTCGCGATGGAGAAAACAAAGGCTTACAATGCGTAAGTGCCTAAGAACTATTTTCCCCCATTATTAAAATAAAAAGAAAAGTTATCTTCAACAAGAGACCCTAATCCGAAAATATTCACCATCTTTGGTGCACTTTAGCCATGGACTGTATTCACCGATGTTTCCAATCCTAACGGAGGAATTCGGAGGAAGGAGGTAGATTACGTGTTTTTTTACCGTATCTATCTATCGGATACTTACTAGGAAACTTGTTTTGAACACCATAGATAGACGCCGCCTTTGTAGACTCATTGCACTGAGCTGTGCTACGGACGTACTGGTCACATTAAGGCGTGGATCGTCTTCATGAACCGTTTGTAAATTGTTCGCCATCAACTGAATAATCTTCAAATTTTTCTCCTATAATGCAAGGAGTTAGTAACTACTTAACATTTGAACTAGTTTTGTGTTATATATAGATGTACATGTTTACTTACTTGTAATTCCTTGAATCCTCCTTCAGCTACAATTTTTCCTTTATCCATTACAACGATTTGATCAACAGATTTTATAAACTGCAGTTGATGAGTTACAAGCACCACTGTTTTGTCAGCCAAATATCTAACGTTTTTGTATTAAATAAGTATACTATTAGTGAAACTCAATACTAGAAACTTCATTGGTAATCGATACCAATGGTAGTGTAAAATGTCTTTTGTTCTATTTTTCCTGAACAAGAACAAGAATCCAAATGATTTTTCTATAAAAGTATATTACCTTTTGATACATCTTTCGAATATATGTTTAGCGACTTGAGTATCAACAGCTGATAAAGGATCGTCTAATAAATATATATCGGCCTAAAAATGTCATAAATTTATGTAGTATCAGTTAATTGATAGAACTTAATTATTATGAAGATACAAAATAGTAGTATTTTGTTTATTTAATTTATGCACATATCTAAAGCAATTCCTATATTACTTCCTTGTAAATAGCTCTTGCTAAGTTAACCCTTGCTCGCTGGCCCCCGCTTAGCGAAACTCCCCTCTCACCGACTACAGTTTTATCACCATGGGGGAAAAGAGAGATATCTCTTTCTAATGCACAGACTTTGCAAACTTCCATATACCGAGATTTTATGAATGGTAGACCAAAGAGAATATTTTGTCGAACAGAACCTGAAATTAATTCACAAGACATGAACTTAGTTTTCGAAACTGAAACGATTGGTGGAGAACTTATTTTGTATTTAAACTTCATACCGACAAAGAGCCAAGGATCTTGGCTGGCGTAACTAACACTGCCGTGGATTTCGATACTGCCACTAGAACAAGGCAATTCTCCTAATATCATGTGCAATAATGTGGACTTTCCAGCACCAACGGCACCAATGATAGTTGTCAAAGATTCCGATTTTATCTAAAAAACAACTAAGTGTGACTCGAAACATAATCGACTCTACGTACCCAACTCAGTTTCCAGTAGTTTGGAAGCAATTAGCTGTAGCGGACAGATTTTCAAATACGGAATTTTAAAATTTTGTATATGTCTTCTTTTGATTAATTAATTTGAAAAAAAAATCTAAAATATTAGAATGTTTATGTACTCGGATGTAAGGCTATATTACCTCTAAATTTATATCTTTGACGTCATTTTTTCCTAATGACTTTATCCAACGGCTGTAAGCTGCGTCAAACTTTATCGCTATTTCATTCTTGGGAGGCTCTAAAATATTGAATAACGCATGTATCTTCATTTATATTATACTTACTTTATGTATTAGGGGTTAAAGTATGAAATTGCCGTTTTATTGTAATAAGTTCTTTGAATTGACATAGAATCTCCGTGGTTTGATGTTTTCGAAAGAAAATTTATTCACATGGTTTCTATGATGTTCTTCTTTTAAAATATGTGAAACATTTGAATATTGACTTTCAATTGTTTTTGCTATTCAACTTAGACAAGAAAGATGGATACTGCGAAAATTTGAGTGATTTTTGAATAAGAGCTCCGACGCGGAAGTAACGCGGCAGAAACAGCCCGCAATATCAATGTTGCGTTTCGGCGAGGGGTTTGCTAATTAACGCAACGTGCGATTTTGGTTAAAACATTTTCGTGATGGAAACTTCGACTTGAAGAGCGAGCCACGAGACCGCCCACACAGGTGAATAACGATGAATTAAGAGAGATTGTGGAAGCCGATCCTAGTCAAACTAACTACCCATGAATTAGCGGCATGGGTTTAACGTTACCTTATCAACAACATTGACTCATTTGCGTTAAATAAATAAAATAAAAAATGGGTGCCTCATGATTTGACTGATCTGCAGAAAGAAACGCGTGTTGAAACTTGTGTTGCCTTGTTGAATCGGTACAGAAATGAAGGAATATTGGATCAAATTGTGACATAAGATGAAAAGTGGATCCCCAGATCAAACTCCACAACAGTGTCCTAAAGCAAAACTTACCAATAAAAAGGTAATGGTAACTATTTGGTGGTCTCAGCATGGTGTTATTCACTAAAGTTTTCTCCGATCTGGTCAAGCAATAACGGCAGATGTCTATTGTACCGAACTCCGAACAATGTTGGCAAAACTAGCAGCAAACTAGCAAAAAACAGCTCCGACTCATGAATCGATCTTCACCATTATTGCTCCATGACAACGCCAGACCTCATACAGCTCGAGAAACCGTTTTAACCCTTCAGGAACTGCAGTTAGAAATCATTCATCATTCTCCGTATTCGCCAGACCTTGCTCCAACGGACGACCATTTTTTTCGTGATTTGGTCAATTATCTACGTGACAAGAAGTTTTCTTCCCAGGAGGCAGTACAAATTGCTTTCACATAGTTTGTGCAGTCTACATAGATCTTCAGAGTTCTATCGCAAAGGCATAAATGACTTTCCTATTAGATGGCAGCAATGTATCGATAATAATGGTAACTATTTTGATTGAATAAATTTGTTAAAAATGAACAATTTTGATTTTCAGAACAAATCGGCAATTTCATACTTTAACCCCTATTATAAAATGAAGATATTCACCTGTTTTCATTTTATTTTTCGATGTTGTTGGTGGTTCATCGCGTTTCTGAAGAGAAAGTTCTTGGGGTTGATCTAGAATAATTTTTACGCAATATTTACTCAAGTTAGCATATGGCCACATAAACGTCCGAGAAATATTTATAACTATTTATATACCTACCTAAAATAGTAACCTTCTTTTTTGGCTTTGCAGTCATTCTAGTGGGTTCCAAAAGGATCCTTGGTGGCAAACTACACTCTTCAGATAGCAAATAGTCACGAATTCTTTGAACTGCTACCATCATTTCCGCTATCTAAAATAAAGATACTTGTATATTTTGTTAGAGCTGCATTTTTTTATTGCATCCACCATGGTATTATAACATAATAGTATAGTACTTCTTTCATATAACGTCGTTCTTGACCACGACCATGAATAGTACACCTAGTAGGATTATTAGCAATGATATTACCAAGGTTATAAATCCATTCATAACTTCTACTATTTGCATTGATACAATTGCACAATAAGATTTCATACTCAAAGACTAGGTAAAGCACCAGTAGAAGTGCCTGATTATACCTGTCCAACTGCTTGCGGAAAATATAACGTCATCGTTTGCTTCAAGATGTTGTAATAGCATGTCAGAAAGAAGACATCTTCTACGGATATACGACTCACGTAGGTTACGTAGAATAATACTGTTATGAAAATACCGAAACGTGATGTGAACATTATGAAGGACAGGATAACACCACGGATGTATGAAGTCATTTTAATGTTGTATATTTCACTCCTAAAAATTATTACCAGTAGTGAGTACGTTATATGGATAATTAATAAAAAGTCTCTGATTATTATAGTTTTAAATTCTTTCTTCTAAAAGCTTCATTGATTTATCTTATCGTAAACAACTTTAGAAATACATACACTAGGAACGAAGGAATAATTAAGAAATTCTAGTCTCCTTATGATTGTGGTGGCTGGTCTGGAGATTTTGAGCAATCCTGGTCAACACTGTAGTTATAATTAATTACTTATGAGTACTACGGGCTGTTACCACCAGGATCGGCGGCTCTAATTTACTTTCCGAAGCACACTGGATCCCACCTATTTCATGACTGGCTCATGCAAAAGTTGTTGACCGAATGTGCACTCAAATAAAAATCAATAAAATACAATTTGTTTTCTTTTGCTTTTTCGAAAACTGTGGGATTGGCAAACTAGCTCAGATATAGCCCTAGCTACGACTAATTTCGGGGAAGTATTAAGAAAGAAAGCTGTATAGAAAGTGTTTGGAGGAAGGTCTTTTGGGTATGTTTTTCTTAGACATCACGTAGTAGTTCGAGTAACCTTCTAACTATGTCTATAATCTTCCTAAACGGTTGCTCCCAGGTGTACATTTTGATCACTTCTATTCCCATTATAATTTCCTTCATAAGCCTCACTCGTTCATCAGACTTCAAAGCTGTACGTCTTCTGTAATACGCAGTTCGTGTACCCAAAAATACTATAATGCAAAAAACAAAATTACTTTAATACTTGAAGGGCAAAATACAATAAAAATAGGGCCAAGGTCATACATTATAGATTTCTTCTAATGATGACTTGACTTGTACTTAGCGATCTGAGTTGATTATGCACTATTAGATGTAACCTTTATCATATAATGATTCGACATCATCAACAACAACCGTCATGATCTAATAAAACCTATGCATTCTTCATTTATTCATAGAATATAAATTTATGCTTATAAGAGTTACAGGGGATTCCGTCCATTGGCGAAAACCATGTGAAAATTTGTTCGAGAGTCAGAGAAGTCTTTGATTACTAAGTGTGCGGGGCTAGTATACAATAAACGGAACTTATTACTCACTCTGGAATGGAACTATAGCGATAATTACAAGTGTTCCGTACACTGCCGGTATTCCCATTGCCCGATATAAATATACCGTCATTATCTGCAAATAATATTACTATGCTATATTCCTAAAACAACCGTCTCCGAGATACTGGTAGATTTCTATTTAAAGAAAAAACTATCACTGGAAAATAGGTGCAAAACGATTACATAATAAGGGAAAAACTTAACATCATTATGGTTAAAAAGATATAACATCTATATAGGTTTATTTATCTACCAAATGATTCAAGATCTCACCAAAGTTTCTAAGGGTCCAATCCATAAATAGTGGATGAAAAGTGGCCCGGTATCAAACCTATTGACGTCGTTTGCCATTAAGTTCACTACCAGACCAGCACTACTCTCAGACATCGCTTGTAAGTTCACTTTTAGCGCCTGGAATAATTGAAAAATATCTAATAGTAACAAATAATAGAAGATATCAAGTACACTAGATTCACACCCAAAATAAGAATGAAATATGTAATAGGATATTAAATAATTAAGAGATTTAAGATTGACTGTGCGACGCACTTTGAAGTTTATGTGAGACCTTTGCACAGTGACTGAATAAATATTCAATGTGCACCGAAAGGAAATAGTAGAGGTTTAATATTAAAGTCGAGGAAAATCACGGAAACATTTCGTATTAAGAAATAAAATAGAGATAGTGTGGACAGGAAAATAGCATACATAGGGCTACGTTTAGGAACTATGGAATAAATAACTTTCGTATCAGCAGGAACAAATGTAAAATATCCAAATCGTTTTGTTTGAGAGGGTTTAAAGCCTAAAGACTCCCTGTCCTGTTTGATACCTCATTAGTCCAGTTACGATGAGTAGTTTCGAAGTAATAAAAGAACAGATGAACATTCTTATATACATACGTACCGCCTAAAATCACAACACTCCTTTTCGCTTCGCTGTAGTCGGGCATTCATTCCAAATACGCAATCTTTTGTTTTGGTGATATTTGGTGAAAGGCATATTTTGTTTTGTTATAAAATCAAAACTACTAAATTCGATTTTGATTAAAACGTTGGATCTCATCGGTGCCCATAAGCTCTCTAATAAAAAAATCGAATAAAATATCATTAAAATCGGTTCATAAACAACGAACTTATCCGCGAACAAACATAAGTATAAATACCGTAAAATTTAGGTATCTTATTTTTTGCAGTCGATTAAAAACAAGTTGATACTTAGTGATTTGAGTGTTAAATATAGATTCAAAATATTTACTTCTATTACCTTTCTATAAATGAGACTGCAAATTCCAACTCGCATTTTCATACCGATGTGCATAACCCCCATCATATAGGGGTGTTGGACCATTACATTGACTGTACTACAGAATACCACGCCGAAAGAGAAGAAAACTGCTTCGCCCCATGAAACACCGCCACTAGGAGTGTAGTAACTCCATAATCTACTAACGTAGGTTGCATTTGCTCTAGAAATATTCAACCACGTAAGTAGTTAGTAACAGAACAAAAATCTAACATTGATTCAGAATTGACTAATAAAAATATGAATGATGCAAGTCAGTTATAACTAATAATAGCGAACAAGAATATTTTCCAGTACCTATAGCATTGTGATTGCAAAATTGACCAAATATAATAATTGAACAACAACTCTTATACTATAAAATAATATATCTGTTACCGTTGATTTATCAAGAAGACGTCCTACTCCTCCAGCACGCCTAACATGACAAACTCAAGAAACGCGTTATCTACACCGAACGTCACTTTTCTCTGGTTGAGAGTTGAGAGATGTTGCAGCCAAGTGGTATAATTAGCTGACCATTTGGGTGGCTAGCCCTTTCAATTAACGGACTATATTTCGATCAGCCGAGTAGCTGAACGCAACATTCACAATTCAGCTGAACTAATATCAGCCAAAATTTAAATGTCAATTCATCAGGTTTTCCGTAATTTATTGGTAGGATTAGAAGAAATTTTATGTAGTCCGTCAGTCAGATAATAGAAAATTATTGGATACGTTTTTTTGCTTCAATTTAACGCAAAATGGCTTAGATAATAGGTATTAAAGTTGAGGAGTGGGGGCTCGCTACGTCACATCACAACTATGTAGAAAATGTGCAAAGGTTTGACGTCGTCTGACACGTAACTTAATGAATCGCCGTAATTTATAATTTACGCAAAAAATTAAAAATACGCGGTTCTTTTTCTTCTTTTGCCCTTATGGGTTTCGCCAGAATCCAGTGTTTCGCTCGGTTTACTATATATATGAACTCTGCTTTTTGTATGTTGGTAGTGAAAGCCCTAGCTAAATTTCGAATTTTGTTGAAGTTAAATTTTACCTACTTGAAAGGGACACAACTTAAAAATAACCGATGTTAGAAAATGCTATGACAGACAAATCAAAAGTGGACAGACTAAAGAAAAATTTGTCATCATCCCTAATGGAGATACTATTATAATAATAGTATTATTAGTATTATTACGTTAACATTTGCAGAATTGAGACGCTGCTCTCATAACAAGATCGATAGCATACCTACAAGATCTTACTGCGAGAACTTATAGTAGAAGTATTATTAAATAGAATTGAATATTTCTAGACAGTGCAATCAAATTTTTATGAATACTACTGTCAGTAAAAGCCGTTTTGACACTTACGTGGTACTGTGCAAATCATGTACAGGGCTGAAGTATCTAAGCAGGAGACCCAAAAACAAAGGCTGTTGTAACCTGATCCAAACATAAAATTATCAGTTTATTTCAAACGCTCTATTGATCATGGTGAGGATGAACATTTTTTATATCTTGTCATTCCCATACCCCCGCGTACCGTTGGATAGGACTTTCAAAAATATTAGGGGTGTGGGGATACCGTTTTTCGATATATCTAAGCTTCAAAGTGCCAATTTTCGTTACAGTCCAATGTCCCACCTCTACCAACTAAACGGTTCTTGTTAAAAACTCAACGTTATGGCAATAGTGTATGTAACGAATTTAATAGGAAAACTATCATAGGTACTTAAGTTGGCTTCACAAATTATGTATTCAAATTTCGAATCATTAAAAAAATACTGAGTGGACAAAATTATATACGTTGGATACCTCCAAATTGAAGAGATGGCAGAATATCCGTTGGCAAAATTCCGCGCACGTGAAGCACTAAAATGTCTAAAAATACTGAATTGAGAAAGCAAGAACAAGCTGACCATCAAGTTGCTATGAGGATCAGGTGTAGAATATAACTTCAATAAAAATATTATTATTTCAAAGAAAACATTTGTTTGTATTTTTGCAAGGCGTGTCGATTCTACTGCGCACTAAAATGGAAAAAAGAGTAACTGGACTATTCTATGAAGAAATGTCCGTTATACACAGAAACACCGGTAGATTTTCCATAATTGGTTTTGGGCAGGCCTATGCCCCAATGGTTACGTTGATATGCTAATGATGATGATATAAAGGTTAATGCTTACTGGCAGATTTTTAATTCATATTAGCTTAAGACTCCAGTATAGCAGATCTGTGTGCACACAGTACCCTCGAACCACTTAGGTGAAGCCGCGGGTTACAGCTAGTCTAATATTATAAGTCCGGGGCATTAAACCTCCAGTTAATACCTAACCTGACTTATTTAACTAACCTGATGATGAGTTCCATTGCCGCTAGTATAAGACCGTATAGCATTAGCTCTTGGCCGAATACTTTGGTTAGCACTCTCCACAGGCTGGGTTTATGATGGCTGTCGCCGTCACGCCATCTCTCCATCTCTTGATCCCAAGCTTTTTGAACTGCATCTCCTTCAAACCAATTTTATTTCTGTTCTTTTACTAACACTTAAATTAGGAAAATTTATAAAATTCTTTTTTAATTTATTTCTTTCTTAAAGATCAAACTTGCCTTAACATATTAAAAACAACTGACTCCATGTTAGGGTAGAGGTTGATCATGATATTTTTAGGTTACCTACGACATCAGAGCGGTGTTCCGGTAATGGTGCATATAGGTCACTCTCCTTGATATCTCGCGTGTAACCAAGCTTAAAAGTCTCTATAGTAAACCTGTAAAATAAAGTTCACTTATTTAGATATTCAGTCATTTTAATTAGTTTTTTGATAGATAACTATATGAAAGCATACCCAAATGTAAGTATGGACAGTAAGTTTGCCTTGTACCGTGGATTTATCTGTCTACTTTGCTTTGGGCCGGTATCCATTTTAGATGCCAATATAAACTTTGAAGTACCTATGTACTTATAATTTGACATACATATCACAAAATTTGTAAATATAAACAATGAGATCTAGTAACCCTTGAAAAGGTAACAATTTCTTTATTATTTTTTAATTTTCGTTTATCAGCTACCCACAGACGGAGATCCTTGCTTTTATTTTGGTATTCAAGAAGATGTAAGGTTGAATAAATTCGTTATTGGGAACTCAGTATCATAGAAAATAATATTTATCAACTCATAAAATATATTATATACTTACGCAGAGAAGCATAAAATGAAATTATTATTTAATCTAAAAACATTTCTTTGAAAATTGCTAAGATGGTGTCCTCAGCTGTGTTAAATAGAAAAATAGTAAATTAGTTTATATGGGCTCCCTCATAAGTATGCATATTATGACCGGACTACGGAACCCTTCGTATATACCGCGTGGGCGCGGACGGTGGCTGAGTACATTCACAACAGGTATAACTTCTAGGCATATAAATAAAATGTACATAAATTGTATGTATAATAATAAGATAATGTACGTCGTGGTTTTCAGAATAAATAAAGTTGTGGTATTACCACATGATGTTTTTCACTAAACAGACATAGTTTACAAACAAACAGTCTTGAAAAATGTACAGAAACGGCTTAAAAAGTTGAAGTCAATAGCACATCAGGTAATACAAATCTGTCTTTGCATTTGATTATAAACCGTTACGTTTTGAGGGTAGAGTTTAATACCAACTGGAGAAATTTTACATATTGTAGTAATCCAACGCACAGCCGTGTGTACATACTGCGCGCGTGGCTCGATACGCACTTAGCTAGTTTTTTATTTACAGATAATGAAAATTTCACATACCAACTATCTTTAACCTAATAAGTCTGATTATGTCGAAATGAAAAACTATCTGAAATGATGCAACAGAAATCCTATATATAAAACGACAGTGAAAGTAAATAAAACGTAAAATATTGAAATTATGTCGCCCCTTCAACTTGTTTGTTTCGCTTTTGTAGCAGGCCTTATTAGTGTGAGTAAATCTTTTGTACTTCATTACATACATTTATAGTTACCGAACAAGAAAAAAAAAAAATAATAGTGTTATTTAGACCCCAAATAAAGCAGCTAAAGTTGTTGTATTATGGAAATCTGAAACAAGGTATCATAACAATCCAGAGTAGAGACAATATAGAAAAGTTAATTTTCTACATTGATTTTACCAGAAAACAATCCTGGGACTTCGGAGATGACGGATGATTTATTACCCTTATATTTATTAAATAATATCTATACAGTTATTTGAAATGCTAATACCATATTTTATTTTCCAGGTGTGTGAGGCCCAGTGCTTCCCAACCTATCCTACCTACCCAAGAAGGTATCCTTTGCCACCTACGATCTATTACGAGGATACTAATGCTTTATTATTGCTCGCTAAAGCACTCGATAAAAGTAACGACAATGTTGACTTAGGCCAAATTGTAAGTCAACTCATTAATGCATTGGTATATACCTCTGTAAAAGGATGTAACGGTTCTGGTGGTAATAGCGGTAACGGTGGTAACGGTGGGGCAGGAGGAGCCGGCGGTGCCGGAGGCAGTGGTGGTACTAATGGTGGCCAAACGAATCCTTTGATATTATTAGAGCTACTAAAAAACAACGAGTTACTTAATCTGGCGTTAGGCTCAACAGATGTTTTAGGTGTAACGTTGGGTTCGTAATCTTAATCGACCGCGATCGTATGATCAATCGATGCTATTTCACCGAACGATATTAAAATTATGATTAGAATGCCGTAATTGAAATTAATAAAATGTGGAAACACAAGAAATATGTAATAGGTACCGATTCGATCTGTATGGTTTTGAGTGCCCCAATGAGAAAGTATTTAAAAAAAACGAAAGCACAAAAAAAGCACCTCCACTAGATGGCGACTCTAGCAAAAGTTGATTTTTGCAGGAAACAAATGGACCAAAGACGGACATTTCCGTTTCTTTTAACTAACAAATAAAAAACTGAAATTTGAAAAGTTTGAAACTTAGATATCAATACAAATACGAAGAAGTACAAATAGAATATGAGTTGTTTATTGAGTTTTGAAAACTAATTCACTTTTGAACATGAAAGAAAACCAGTTGTCATGGAGAAATCAAGAACGTACTGTAGCGACATCTATTTTGATTTTGGGAACAATTTTTTTAAATACTTCCTCATTGGTATACGTTGTTTGAAATGTCGCCCCTTCAAATTAACGATACTAAGGCACAGTGCAATGTAGTAGGACTCCTGCAGGTCAATTCTGCTAATGTTTCGTAATATATATATCTGTCACCATCGATGTGTGAGGAAGACATTGCACTAATATTATTGGACTTTAGATATATAGTACAATGGCAAAATGCAGGTCGTTGAGATGCGATTATTACGTAAACATTAGCAGAATTGGCCCATAGGTGATTCTCGATACTTGAACTTCCGGTTTGATATGTCATGAGTCTTTTTCTTTTTTAATTCATGGCCTATTTGCGTTTACACAATTCCTCCAATGTCACGTTTGTGGTCTTTACACGTAAAGGAACATGATATAACAGAATATGTCAATTTTGGATATTGGGGAAACGATAAAACAATAAATAAAAAAAACTCTGAGCGTGTCTATCTGATTACAATATAAAGATAATACAAATAGTATGTATATAGAAAAATATATATTTATAAATTAAGACTACTATTGATTGATTGTTCTTAAAAATTATGAAGTTGACTGATATTTTTTAATTTTAAAATCTATGATTTCATTATTTTTAAAGAACAATAATGACGTATGTTTCAAACCGGAATTTCATTTTCTGAGAATCACCTACATATATACCGTCGCACGACGAAATAGCAACCATATCTCATGCGATCTTATTTATTATGATACTCGCATGAATCAGCGCTTTACGGGCATTTCAAAATCTACATTTTCTGCGTTGGGCCTGAATAAATATACTTTTTAATTCATAAACATATTGCATACGACGGTTTTTAAGATTAATGTCAACAAATTGTATGTTTTGATAAAAGCTTGTACCAATTTGCACGATTACTGGTTGGAAATTTCAATTTCTTTTTGTGCCTAAATACCTACATTCCTTCATGATCCCTGATGATAATGTGTATTGTAGTTGAATAGTTCTAATCTATTATATGTTTTGAATAGGCCTGTTCCTTTCTTAAAAATAAATCAATTTTTACCTAGTAATATTTTTGATTAAGTTTCTTTTACACCTGCTCCATATTCACTCATACGTTTGGAATAGAATGATAATGATTTTAAACACCCGATTTTTAAGCATTAATTTGTGTATTTAAACAATTATATTGTTGATTATTATATTTAATCAAGTTTGCAATCACAATGAAATACTGAAAAATTTTCTTAATAAAATATGCTTAAAAATACTGCTATGAGAGCAGTCGACCGCGGTCTTGGGTTCGAGTCAAAAATCGTCATGCCCGGCTGCACAAATATGAAATTTTATAAATCATGAACTTCTTACCGTCTTCTTACTTCTTCGGTAATCAAATAGTTTTTTTTTTTTTTCCTCATAATATGGCAGGCACGGCTTGTGCATTTTGCCAATGTCAAGTAAAAAATTTGGGAAACGAATAGGAAAGAAATCGGATAAGGAAGGATGGGATCAGGAATGTATGGTATTTATAATCTTAAATATACTATATATATATATATATATATATATATATATATATATATATATATATATATATATATATTATCGTTGTTTACAATTTTATATTATTGAGTATGAGATATGATATGATACATTTATATATTGCTTGATCATAAGTATGTAATAGTGTAGCTATGTTAGTCGGGAATGGAACACGAAGGGATGTTAGGTCTTGCCAGAGGGAGGATCTTTGGAATTTAGGACAGGAGAAAATAATATGATTAACTGTTCCTTCATCTGATCCACAGTCACACCTAGGATCGTTGATTATATGGAGTTTAGCTAAATGAGAAGGCGCAGAAGAATGACCAAGTCTCATACGTGTAATCATAGAAGTTTCTAGCTTGCCACACTTCATTAAGAAGAACCAAGGTTTCAAAGGAATATGATTTTGTATCTGAGCATAAAATTTAGCTTTTGTCAATTTACTGATTTCCCACATTTGCTCCCATTTCTCGCGTAATATTACTTTTGGAATTGCTAATAAATCTGAACAATAGTTTTGAAAAGGAAAAACATCTCCACATGATACTGCCTCTTTAGCAAGCCTATCAGCTATAATATTACCCTTTATACCAACATGAGCTGGAACCCAGGCAAATTCTACATGAACTTCGTTTTCAATACATTTTTGTATCATTTGTCTGATGTCAAAAATAACGGGAGAATAACATTTTAATTTAAACGGAAATTTTTCTAAAGACTGTAAAGCACTCTTTGAGTCTGAAAATATTATAACAGATTTAAGTTTCATGATTTTACTGTATTCTAAGGCTTTCAATATACCAAAACATTCTCCTGAATACACGGATGATTCTGGAGGGAGTTTACTTTCTGAACTATTTTATACTGAGAATGATAAATACCGACTCCAACGCAGGTAGATGTCGAATGTTTGGAAGCATCACAAAATATGTGATGATAGTCATTGAATTTGCTGTCAATCGCGATTTCAAAGTTTAATTTAGCGTCTAAATCTGATTTTTCAACTATGTCATAATGAATATTAGGAAGAAAAATTAACGATTTAAAATCGACATTAAAAATAGGAAGGTAATTTGATACATAAGTAGGAGAAGAAAGGGAGATGAATTTCTTATAACTAACAATGAGACATGGTGGAGTTTTATGTGTCCAATAGCTTGAAGTAGAAAATAATTCATAAAGTGCCTTAATCTTAGAAAGAAGTGGATGATTTGAACACTGAATAGTACGAAAAAAGAATTTGTCACAAATATATTGCCGTCTTAATTGAAGGGGGGGTTCACAGCATTCTATTTGTAAAGCGTTTATTGGGCTCGACTTCATGGCTCCCAATATTATCCTCAGAGCTTTATGTTGAATTTTGTCTAGCTTCCTAAGGGCTGTAACATTACCTGGTTCTAGCAAAAATGTACCGTAATCTAAAACACTTCTAATAAGGGCGTTGTAAACCAACTTTAAACAATATGGATGAGCTCCCCACCAAACGCCTGAAAGGCATCTTATCATATTTAATAAGCGTTCACATTTATCAGCAACATATACACAATGGCGGGTGCCTGAAAGTTTCGAATCTAAAACTATGCCTAAAAATTTCGCGTGATCTTTAACGGGAATAGCAGCATTATCATACTTTAGGGAGATAGGAGGAAGTTTATTTTTACGAGTATATACTACGACAGCACTTTTAGAAGCAGACAGTTGTAACCCATTAGAATCCATCCAATATTTTAAATTCGATAAAGCAGATGTTAATTTAAGAAGCGAATCCTCAATGGAATGACTAATGTAATACAATAAAAGGTCATCGGCGTATTGAAGTATTTTGATATATTTATTTGAGCAAATATTATCTTCTAAATCGTATGTATAAACATTATACAGAATAGGACTAAGGACTGACCCCTGCGGAAGGCCTTTTGAAACAGTCCGAGAATAAATAATATTGTCGTAATATATTTCTATTTTGCGTTCTGTTAAAACGTTGAGAATAAAATTTATGAAATGGGAAGGTATACCTAAAGATAATAGTTTAATTTTGAGAATATCTAATAAGAGATTATCATACGCAGAAGACAAGTCTACAAAAACAGCTGTCACCGAATCGTTATTAGAGAAAGCTATACGAATATCTGTAGTGAAGATAGCAATATTATCGAGTGTACTTCTACCTTTTCTAAAGCCATACTGAGTATTGGCTAAAATGCCTTTACTTTCTAGAAACCAATCTATACGGTTTTTGATTAAATGCTCCGCTAATTTGAGTAAAACCGAAGACATAGCAATGGGTCGATATGAAGAAGCTTCAGAAGGAATTTTATTTGGTTTTAAGATTGGCAACACTGTTTGACGTTTCCAAGATGAGGAGATATTACCTGAGATCATTAACGAGTTTATTAAATCTAAATAATATTGTAATGTGTTATTGCAAACGTTGGAAAGAAAAGCATATGGGATGCCGTCGCTCCCAGGGGCAGAGTTTTTCGTATTTTGGATGATACCTTTTAATTCATATAAACTAAACGGAGCACTAATATCAGAGTCAGTTAAGGAAGAAGAGATGGAGATATTGTTCGAAACCCAGGGAGGAGCTAATTTATCTAAGAAAGGGTTTATTAGCTGTGGTGGTATCATTGATGAAGAGTTGTTATTGACAGCCGATTTGAATCTTTTAATGTTTTGCCAAACTAATGTTGGAGGAGTGTTAGGGGAGATAGAGGTACAGAACCTACGCCACCCTTCAAATTTTTTTTGTTTAAAAAGTTTTTTAGTTTTTGTTATCAACTCTGACATTTTATCATAATTAGATTCAGTCATATTTTGTTTATATATTTTCTCAGCAGCTTTTCTTTGTTTCACAGCTTCCGTACACTCATTGTCCCACCACGGAGGAGATGGAATTTTATTGGGGTAAACTTTTTTAGGGAAGACTTCATTAGCTGCATCTATAAAAAGATTACTCAAAGCTTCAGCTCTTTCAGGCTCAGAACTAGAGTTGATGT